AAAGTCTTAAATGATACTATATAATGCTATACTGTGGAGCATTAATTGCTTAATCTGTATTCCAAAATATTATTCAGCCAAAAATGTTCAATGACTTTCAAAGTGATCCATTGTAACATCTTGTATAATTCCTTTAAGCACACCTCAGCCTCTGTATTCACCCAGGCCTATTGTGTAGTTTAAACTAATTTAGTTGCACAGGGTTCAAATATCATGCCTCTCTGTGGTTTCTTCTCCTCCTCTGAGTCCCATAGATCCCATCGCTGGTGTAAAATTTCCGCTTTTCTCAGGTCCAGCCGCTTATTAAATCCAAACAGCCCTCTCATGCGCCTTACACTTCCATAATAGTGGCCATAATATCAATCTGTTATCTATGGTATTTTGTTGTGTATTACAGAATTACTGGTCCTTATTATCTATCCATCCATTTTCTACCCCTTTATCCATTTCTGGGTTGATATTGGATTGGAGTATTTTCTAATTGCTTAATCTATATAACAGCTATAACAACAACTCTTTAAATCAATATTGTTCTCCTCTAAGTGTCACAATGACCTAAAAGAAAGAGTGTAAGATATGTATTATTGTAGTAGTAAAACAAAAGTAGTTCATTGTCTGTCACACATTTTGCGGACTAAAGTGCAGAATACAATAATAGGATTGTGTCCTGTGTTTTTGCTTGACATGGGTAAATTAGTCCATTCTAGTTTTGGGTAACTTTTGTGTATCATTTTGTTTTTGAATTTACTGGGGGTGAGGAGTCAGGAGTGTTGCGCTGCATGCACATCCTCTTTCATCGATCAAATGTTAAGGATCTATGATTAACGGATCCCTCATGAAGGAATATCATCCTCCGCCTCTGATCCATCCCATGTGCAGCCGGAGCCTCCTGCAGGAGTAATGTTTTGGCTTAGTTTGATCAATTGTGGCCTCTTCCATCTACCCAAGGTGGAAACAGCAATAATGTATTTGTCCTTGGGGAGGAAATACGGCTCTGCTCCTCTGCTCCTTGATCCTTTGCTTTATGTATGTTTTTTAGAACCAAACATTTACCTTTGAGTTGGGATTAGTTTAATCTAAATCCGGTGCTTTTCTTTCCGACTATGTGCAATTCCTCTGCAGTAATGATGACCGTTTACTGTTGTAATTATAATAATGTGCAAAATTAAATAACAATTAGGGAATGACAATGAACTAAACTGATTTTGAAGTCTGGCAATACATTGGTAATCAACTAAGATTTTCATTTTTTGAAATCTTCGGATGTTAATTACAGCCAACAACTCAATTTGTCAGAATATGTCTCTATCAATATAGGCATGCCTAATTTCAAAGCTTGGAATCTGCAGAGCTCACTCCTTGCATTACAATGATAAATAACTGTAAAAACTGCAAAATGTTACGCTGACACAAGCCCAAAGCAGAGATCATAAACACAAGGTCACACTGTCATCCAGCCAACTTCAGCCAGCCTCTGCTAATACTGGCATATACAGTACATGCGAAATGACGTTTTCAAACTTAGAATGTCATTGTGAAAAAATAAACAATCCTATTTCAGGAAATGTCTAAGTATTGGTTGTATTTATTTTAAACATTGGCCTCAGACAGTCAGTGATGATTCCTAGCCCTATAGTCGCTCCATCTGCTTCCCCATCCCTTGCCCTGTGTTCTGCCCTCTTCTTCAATGTGGTCAATCTTGCATACCGCAGCCCAAACGCACTCACTGCCAAACAAGAGCACCAACAGAGTCTAATTTAAAGCTTTCTCTTACTGTAGCCAAAGTGTTTTGTGACAGACATGAATAGGGCTGCCTGCACAAGGGCTCCCCAGCTGCTCTTCAATGCAGTCAATTGGGAGACTTTCGGGGAAGCGTATGTGTGTGTGTGTATATGTCAAAATGCTTTCCCTTGTAAATGTGAATAACTGCCTGGACTCCAACTCATTTATTTTTCTGGGAGACTGCATTTAACATGTTCACAGTCTGCCCGGTTTTAGGAATATTTTTGACAATTCGTCCCAAGAAATTAAGGAATTATTCGACTTGGTTTATACCCACGTTCTCCCAAACTTTGATGCAATGATGTGAGAAATTTCCTCTTGTAAATCCTTTTGATCGTTCGTCACCTTGTTGCTCTTGCATGATTTGAGTTCCTGATCCAAAATGGCACTGCTCTCAACCACCAACATTGTGCCAAACATGTACAATGCTTTTAGGATCAAAGGACCTCAAACGATTCAGTGTGTCCTCTATGCACACAATCGGTTCTTCTTTAGAGCGCTGGTGGTCCTTGAAGGAGAATCATGCTAGGTTGAGGTTAGCAGAATACATAGTAGACTATTGCTCTTCTCACTTCTTCCTCTTAGATAAATGACAGTGTCAAGTCAAAGAATTTACCTTCTGCTGGGAAAAAAAAGTTTATATCAAATTATCTCAATGTTTAACTTGGAAATACATACAGTGAAGTATTACAGTTTTAATACTATTATTATTATTACTACTATCCACTGTAAATGTTCTGTGTATTTATGTCTTGTTACATTTATGTAGTACTAACTAGACCTTTCTTTTGTGGAGGCAATTATTGCCAATCAAATCTTTTATAGAAAGTCTTGGAGAATTAATTCTTGTTATTGCTCCACTACAGTAAAATACCAGCTGGAAGGCTTGACAAAGGGGAGGTCGACGTGTGTACAGGTCCCTCGGGGGAAGTTGTTGCCCTTAGTTACCAGTGTCTACCTCCACCTCTGGGGAATTGGTTTGAGGCGTGGCTGAGGCACGTCTGGAGGATGCTGGGATAATTAATAGAGTGGGAGGAGCTTGTTCTGTGGGGGAAGGGAGGAGCGACAAATGGGGTGGACATGAGCTAGTCATAAGGTTTGAGGCTATTGTACATCACACCCCAGCTTCAGGTAAGAGATGGTTGGTTTAGAATATTGCAATGTGTTTGTGCCATGTATAGGTAGATATTATAGTGTAAATCATAGACTGACACATTAATGATAAGTCTTTTGTATGAGCTGCAAATGCATTCTATGAAGCAGCAAAAATGGCATGCTGGTTGTTGTATATATGCTTTATTTGTGCAATGTTTAAAATAAGTGGTATTGGTGTAAAATGGTGCCAAGTTGCAGTGGTGATTAACCACATTGAAAGGGGATGATGCAAAACATAATTATAGTAATGGGAAAAGGAAAAGCAACACCTCTGAGAACATAGCACTAAGAATAAGAGATAAAGAGAATAGGCAGATGTGATATTCTTGGGAGAAAAAAAATATTTTAGTTGTCATTTTTACATAGAAAATCTTGACAAATTTAACTCAAGTATTATTATTTTTCTCTCAGTAACCTACACATTATTGTTGTAATTTTTAAATCTATTGATATTTGAAGTTTTTAACACAAATGAGTTATGAGTGAAAGAAATATGGGTATCTTGCATATTTCTGTGTTGGGCAGCTGTGCTTATGTGGTCATTAATTGTGTAGTATAATCAATGATATGCTATATTCTGAATCACAACCACTTTTCAATCACTTTACAACAAAATTAGAGCTGAGGTACCCAACTTTTTTCTCCTCATAATAAATATTATTGTTTATTTGGTTGGGCCAGTACATGGTAATGAGCACATGAATCCAGATTGTAGCCATGGGCTAATTTGCATCCGTTGTCCCACATTTGCACTCACAAACTCATTCACATGTTTTTAGTGGTAGGGGAAAACAGAGTAAAGGTCCTGTTCCGACCAGGATTCGATCCCAGAACCTTCTTGCTGAAAAGCGAGAGTCCACCACAACATGCTGTCTTTATCTTTGGGCCGAGAGATGATTGGCAAAAGTTTCACTTTTGTAACAGTGGTCAAAAAAATCATGTAGATTTTACTAGTGAGTACTCTTTTGAGAGCGAGGAACTCGTTACATACATTTTATTTCATGATTTGTTTATTTCTGATGTACTGTATTTCTCAGAGCTTATAAAAACATATTTCTGACGTATGTTTTAAACTTGCTGTAGCAACTTCAGATGTGCTTCGCATATGTGCGTTATAAATAAAATCTATTGTTATTATTTATTTTTTGGGTGGTTTGAAAAATATTTACCACAGCTTTAAGTACACTTTGTGAATGGACACTTTCCAACTCATTTCAAAATACCCACATTTGACAGGAGTTTTGGCCGTAGCACCTAATCCTTTTTGCACTGTACTTTATTATGGCCTTTGTTGAACATTCCCACCACTCCTGGATCAATGCGACTCCTAAATGAATGATTACCCAAAATGCTCTCCTGTACCTGAGAGACATGACCTTGATGTAACTATTGATTCTCAGTTTGGCAGGACCTACATTTATTTCAACTCGGACACTTCCCACACTTTATGTTCATTGTGCTAAAGGTGAAACCCTGGAATCTGGAGATCTTTTAATCTCTTTGATGCCAGACAACAGCTGCCCCTGGTCAAATGTTATGACAATAATAAAAGCAATTCTCCCTCTTTGGATCTTGTTTAGATTAGGAACAGGAGCAAAGATTATGATGTTGATAGGTTTTGTTTGAGTTTCGCGTCTCTTTGTACCCGTAATTATCAGAGACAAAAACAACTCATTTATAACTAGTATTCAGGAATCCCTTTAAAGATGGGGTACCTAACTTCAAAACTGCAAACATTTGAACTATGTAATAACAATATTGCTCGAGTTGTATCACTAGTTTTCAAATAATGCATTTTGAGCCTCTGTCATATCTTTAGATCAGTTTTTTCAGACAGAAAAGTGAAAAAGAGAGGATCTGTCTGGCTGTCTCACAGGGCACAGTACTTTCAATATAAAAATGTGTTCTAATTAGATAAAAACACATTTACATGAAAAAAACTCTCTTTGTTGGAACAAAATACTCAGATTAACTGCGGGCCCCAATGGTTTCTGTATTATATTTGTACGATGTGGTTTTGATAACAGTAACAGATTATTGTTGTCTTTGTGTGCCCTCTTTAGGCTCAACCTTGAATGAAAATGCATGACTAGCACTAAAGCACCAGTCATGTCTCACCGGAAGAGGCCTGGGTCCAGTGGCGGGACCATCATGGCAGCGCCTCCCCCTGCACCAGACGCTCACCCCACAGAGGCCCTGGATCTGAGAGCACCTGCCCCACGACAACGGGCCATCCGCTATCCCAAAGACCACCACCAGCCCCACCCACGGGACCCCAAACCCCTCCCTCGCTCCAGTAAGGCCCAGTATACTCGCCCCAAGAAGCAAGAAGTAAGTCCCCCCCCTCCCCCTCCTCCGCCACCCCCGCCTGTGGTGGAGCTGGAGCCTGAAGTGGAGGAGAGTCTGGAAGTACAGACTGAAGTAGAGGAGCACAGAGAAGTCGCACCCCCCACACCTGAGCCGTACCCCGACGACCCTCCAGAACACCAGGACTACCAGGACTACCAGGACCCCCCAGACTACCATGACCTTCCAGACCACCAGGACCTTCCGGAACACGAGGACCACCATGACCTTCCGAAACACCAGGACCACCTTGAATTCCAGGACCTTCCAGAACACCAGGACCACCATGAACTCCAGGACCTTCCGGAACACCAGGACCACCATGAACTCCAGGACCTTCCGGAACACCAGGACCACCATGAACTCGAGGACCTTCCGGAACTCCAGGACCACCCTGAACTCCAGGACCTTCCGGAACACCAGGACCACCATGAACTCCAGGACCCTCCGGAAAACCAGGACCTTCCGGAACACCAGGAGCTTTCAGAACACCAGGCCCACCAGCACGTAGACCATAGAGAGTACAACGCTGCAGCGGACAGTATGGACGACGACTCTAGCTCAGAATATATGAACAACTCCTCAGAGGACGAGGATTATGATGATGGTGGGTTTTTTATTTGAACTTTAGTTTTGTTATTAAATACAGTGCTATAATCATCAGCCCTTTGTATCCCTGTTCATCTAGGCCACTGACACAGGGTCAGGAGTACATATGTGCCGTTACATTTCTTTGAGATGGCTTTTATTGTTATAAATTATGAATTAATCAAACAGATTTATGTTTTAATAAAACGTTTGAAAAGCCGTGAACAACAAATGAGTTGTTCAATCCTTTATCAGAAACATCTCCTAGGTTACTCAGGCTGCTTACCACACTATAGCTGTCATTATTCCACATGTTAAAGATGGTTGTGAGTATTTTGATAGTAATGTTTTATTATGGTATGTAGCGTCATCTGCATGTGAAAGCCACATCTTGCTAGCTAAGCAGTGCAGGGCCTGGTTATTAATGTTATGGGAGACCTTTGTGAACATCAAACTTTAAAGTGCTGCACTGTCGGTGTGTTATTACACCCACATTACCTAGTATAAGTCTTGTGTGGGTGAATGATTGCTGGTGGTCGAAGGGACCAACGGCACAAACAAAACATATGTTAACTTAATGTGTGTGCATACAGGCCTTGCGGAAGAGGACGAGGGTGTGACCTACTACATCCGCTACTGCCCGGAGGATGACAGCTATCTGGAGGGAATGGACTGCAGCGGCCAGGGCAACTGCAACCACTCACATCCCCACAACCACAGCGAACACAGCCATGACCCGGAGGACTACAGCACGGAAGTTCAGCCGCCCCACACAAGTGACGAAGGCCAGGAGGGTCAGGAGGACTGGGTGGAGGATGAAGAAGGATTGGAGTGCGAGCCTAGAGAGGAGGAGTGGGTGGAAGACGACATTGCAGTGGAAGAATGGAGAGAAGGGGAAGCCGAGGCACAACAAGATTGGCAGGACGGCGATCCAGAGCATGACCAATGGGAACAGGGCGATATTGAGGTGCAGGAGGAGTGGAGGGAGGGGGGCCAGGTGGCACAAGAGCCATGGGAGAGACATAGAGTTCAGCAAGACTGGGACGACGTGGATGGAGAGGTGCGTTGCGAAGTCGTGGAGCAAGATCCGGACGAGCAGATTTACAACGGCCGCCCCGAACCCATTTTGGATCACTGCACGCACCACCACCGCACGCACCATCCTCCCGAAAGCCTGCGGTCAGTTAGGCGAGCGGATGGGGCGGAAGAAGATGCGCCAGAGTGTGAGAATTACTACGCCAACGAGGAGGAGGAGGGTGAAGAGGAAGATGAAGGACACAGGAGGTCGTACACTGGAGATTATTACGCCCCTGAGGACAATGGGAACTCGGTCAGAGGGTCTCCGTATCGCGGGCGCAAGGTGTTGGTGGTAGAGGGGGAGACGGGGGAAGAGGCAGAGGAGGACATTGACCAAATTGTTGCTGAGATTAAAATGAGTATGAGCATGGGTAGTCTGAGCAGCAGCACTGACCAAAGCCCGGAAGAATTGGCCCAGGACCCTGCTCCAGGCGGCTATGGTCACACAAAAGCAGAGACAGCCTCCTACCCCCCGCCACACCACAGACACGACAGCAGACCCAAGTCCCTAAACTTGCCCTCAATACACAACAACACCCCAGACTTACAGAGGGGAGTTAAGGCACACCCACGCTCACCCGAAGACCGACAGAGGTGGGCACAAGAGCAGGTAAGATGCCTTCTCAAGTCCTTGGCTTTAGGGTTGTTTAGAAACGTCATGTGCATCTCTTGTCAGTATGTATACAGCTGATTACTTGCCAGAGCAGTAAGCCCCTACTACAGTCTGACACTTGTGATCAGATGTAGGGGAGTCTGATTCCAGGTACATTTGTTCCCGAATATGTTTTGACCAATCTTAGATCGCAGAATTAGGAATTTTGGACTTGCCTTGCTTCCAAATGTATCAACGTTTCTTCTTCCTTGAACTTCTAATTTTGATTGACCTATGTAGCATAACATTGACTTAAGAGGCAGTGATAACATCTTTAAATGGTGATAAATGTCTCTTGATCAAAACTGGCCCCTTCAAAGGTCAAGGTCACTTCTGAAGCACAAGGATATATTTTTTCTCAATTCAGATGCAGTCACACTTTGCACTACAATGCAAGATGGCGGCCACTGCATGTTTCTTGATAATTTTATAATACATATTATTGATTATTTATTAGTGTGAGACACTGCCTTGCATATTTGTTGGTACATTATTTTATCTGAGTAACTCTTTATTCTCTTTATTTGTTTATTTATTTAAGCAGACAAGTTCTGCTCAAAACTCTTTAGCTTAAAATGCGACCAAACACAGATTAGATATGGGACACAGAGTAGACTCATTTTTTTTACACATGATGTATTCCCCATAAGCTGAAACTATTGTCCACTTTCTCCAAATATTGATAAATACAATTTATAATTTATAATAAAACAATTTCAGAGGACTTTACAAGTTTGTTCAACAGATCAGAGAATCAAACGGGAAACACATAGGATCCATTTGCTCATAGGGGGTGGATGACCAATGTCCATAAATATGATAGTATAATATTTATGCATGAAAAGAGTAGCTCTCTACGTCAAAACAGAATATAAAATATATATTACAACACACAAAGCACACGTTGTTCAGTCCAAACAAAATGCTGTCATGTTGCTTTGGATAATTGCATTGTTGTTAATTAGCCGTTGATATAATTTGCAGGAAGGACACATGTACAGCTCTACCCTGGTAGTAGTTGGACATAGCGCATGCTAATTTACTCATAGCAATTTGAACGTTGTAATGTTCTGCAGCGACCTTTTTTTCTGAATGTGATTGAATTGACATTGGGCAGCGACCACAGTATTTTGTTCAGCACAGAGAAAACCCTTTAGCTTTTCTTCTCCAAGTTGTTACATAATCTCCCAATTCGCTCTAAAAGAGTCCTGGATCACTAGATTGCTCTTGAGGGATGAAAAACCACATGCCCTCTCCTCATGTCGGACCCCCATGGACAGCTCCCATACATTCTCAGTGGTAGCTAGAGTAAAGCAGGTCAAACACAGTCCAGTCACAGTCTAGCTTTGCAAGAGTCCCACAAGGCTATATATGTGATCGTTCTGTCCTCCGTCTGACCTGGGCCGCTCTCTTTGCACCACTTTACCATGACCCCTAAATAATTAAACTTTAGGAACACAGTCTGTGACTGTGGATGTCATGAATAATGGGAGAATAATAGGAACTTACATAATTGGACGCGTTTAGCCCAGGATTGTAACTGCTTTAGTATGAGAGGTATACTATTTCACCTAATTACTACCACAGCTTTTTTCTATTTCCATTTCTAAAAAATCTGCTATTATTTTGGTTTATATTCTATATTGTTTGGATTCTTGAAAATAAGTTTCCCTAGCAGCCAATCTCTCTTTCAAAATATACTGTAGACCTGAACGTCATTGGCAAGGCAAGGCAAGGCAAGTTTATTTGTAAAGCACAATTCATACACAAGGCCACTCAAAGTGCTGAACAAAAGAAGATAGAAATAATCACACAAAGCATTAAAATCATAAATAAATATCACAGTACATTGAAAAGATAGATACCCAGCTAAACCTTTATTGAATACAACTTTAAGATGTTAATGTTTATTATTTCTACTCTGATACAATGTTTAAACTGAAATGATTTCTTCACTAAATTGTCTTGATAAAGGCATAATTATTTCAATCACTACAGGATATAGCTGCTATATGAATTCATTTATTGAGTCAGCAATCATTTCAACGGTAATTTGACACTGGATAACAATAGTCCTGCTTCTGACTCAGAATGGAGTCACGTTGACTGATTACATGAAGCCTGTGGTGAGGATTTCTCGAAGCTACTTTGAGAAGAGAGGCGTTGTCCTTTTGATCAGGTCTAGCTTCAGCATGACTTAATCCCGATATATGTATTGATTTATTTATTTATTTATTGCCCTGGGTTAGTTGAGTTGATATATTGGTCTGATATTGGTGGAACAGGAAAATTATACCTTTCAAAATGCAAACAACTTAACACCAGCATGAGTGAGAGAGGAAATGCAAAACGTTTAGATGAACTGATTATTTAACACAATTTAATGTAGAGAACCCCATCGCCCCCAAAAAATGAATAATTGTAGATAGGCTATCAGTGAGGACACACAAAATAGGATAATCAAAATATCAGCAAAATGTGAACCAAATGTTGGGATTTGAATTTGTGTTGATAGCTGCTTTGAACATCTGAAGTTTAATATTCAAAGCTCGGTGAGTCCCTTTAATCTGATGGTGGTGAGCTCCTCGGAGTGCTTCTGCATATTGATCACGGCTTTACGTTTCACTCGATAGTTATAAAGCAGGCCACTCAAGTCACATCTCTGGTAGTTAATTTCATTTCCACTCATCCAACAGCATGGTATCTTCAAATTACATCCCCTGCCCCGTGTTTCATTAGAGCATCAGGAGGAAAAAGGGCAGGAGGAAGGCTTCATATCGAATTAAATGGATCACATATTTAGGATCCAATATGGAGCCTTCAGCAGGTGTCAGTCCTCGTGATGAATGTATGTATGTGATGATTGGAGACGTCAGGTGATGAAGACAGAGCAAGTCTCAAAAGGAGTCATGTTTCAAGAATCCTGTTTAATCCGAAGAAATGTAAACACTCCAAGCTAATTGTTCATAACTAGTGCTGTGTATTAGGCATTTTGATTCTATACAATATTGTTTTACTTCTTAAAGTTCATGTCAGTTTCTTCCATTGTTCAAGAATGCAGCTATTTATCATACAACCATGTACTGTCATATAAAGTATTTTTCAAAAACAATATGGGGAAGTTGTGGCGGTGAACAGGGGCAGGTCTGACTGTTACCTACATTTTGGAAAGTGAAAGTATGTCTTTCTTTTTTTTTCTCAGAACACTATTTGCTGGAAATAGATAAATAAAGAACAACTAACATTAAGTTATTGTGATCTGTTTCATTAGGAAAATAAGCTTCCACTACCTGGTCATTGTTTTTGTGATTGAATTTTTTTGTAGAAAACATACATACATACAATATTCATACAAGAAAATAGCATAATTTTGCTATATTACACCCAAAAACTGTATCTGTACTGACAATATGTGCAGCTATAATGTGTATTTTTGTGGTCTATGATCCAGGTCACAAATGGAGCCGAACCCAGGAAACAGCAGCGCTCCGACCTCAACGTTCCTCTGGAGAACAACAACATGGCAGAGGTAGGTCTGTGTGGCATATACACACACACACACACACGCACACACACACACGCTCATACACACACACACGCTTACATTTACATTTACACAGGGGTCATACATTCGTGTTTATGAGTCCGCCTCAGCCCCTCTCCCTGTGCCACTGTCTTCTAGGGCACTGAGTAATTGTGTAATTACCATGGCGTCTCATGTCCTCTCCTCACGGTGCGATAGCGTGGCAGTGAATGAGCTCGCCTGTTTTACGAGCGCCATTTCTCTCTGAGATGGGAGCTACAGATGTTTCTCCTCACGTCTTCTCTTTTGAATCAGCAATCATTTGATGTCTAGTTTGAAAATAAGATGAAAGTTCGAATGAAATAACTAATTTATTCTTATCGAGACTGTGGATGCGGGTAAAGAACTGGATGAGTGGCACTCTGAAATATCGTGCTTTGTAAATTCAGAAATGCTATCTGCCACCAGTTTGGCTACTCTTACTCCTTAAATACCAACATGATTAGGTCCAAATCATATTTTTTCCAGACTATGCTATTTACTATGCCCTCTAAATCTTCCTGGACCCCGTTGAGAGTGCTATACTATCCTTAAGATGCTTTAGGATCAACTGTTTGGAACGTTTTCTCCACTGAGGGACCCCTGCACCAGAAAACCTCAGGCACAATTATGAAAAAAGCTAAGACATTTTGCTGCCCACTCCCTATAAGGTTTAGAATTAAATAATTGAAACATTTTCTTTCACATACAACGTTTCATAATGCCCTTTTTTCTTTCATGAATAATGTTTTGTTTAGTGCAAAGCAAACGTTTTTGAACTAATCAGACCACATTATGCGGTTTTCATCTCTTTAAAACATGTAGATTAGCGCACCTTTATTCATTTTCTCAAAGGGGAAAATTGGCCACACTCATTACAAACAGTAGGATTAAAAATAATACCCAAATCTTTTCACTCAGAAAGAGAGTAAATGTACGATGTTCTTTCATGCTGAGAGCTGATTTGCTGAGCGAGGGTTGGGCATTTTTCGGGCCCTGAAATAATTTTCAATTAGTATTATTGATTTGCAGCATTGATGGTAATGGGCAACTATGGCATGTTATTAGCTAATCTTCTCAGGAAACCAACCATATCATGTAACGTATTCTCTACTAAATAGAAGTTAAATAGATTTGGTCTTTTACATTAGATTTGGTCCTGTTGCAGCAATTTTATTGTGTTCAGAAAACACAGAATATAGAATTTCCATGCCAATAGGGTGTCTGTCAAAATACCATCATAATGTGAAAAATAAAAAATAAAATAAAACCACTTTTGGCCCTTGACCAAAATTAGTTTGACTTCACTAAATCTATGCATGAAGCCAGATAAACAATACATTTGGAAACTATAGTGATAAAATGCATTGCAGTTAGATAATTAGGTTTAACCTAGTATTAAAATGATCTGACAAAATTATTGGAGAAAATTGAGACCATTGGAATTGTTGTATGTTATGTGAATGACACTAGTTTGCAATCCTCTCATAAGACACATGATTATGTATCCAAGCAACATGCTGAGACTGCACTCAGAATCTATAGGGGATCATTTGGCAGGGTTTAAGTAAACTCTATAATTAATCATTTTGAGACAGTGCGTTGAGATGTGTGCTTTCAAAATGAGCCAAGTAATAGTTTATTTTCTGCTTGTTTTTCTAATCTTGTCCATTGCATCCTCCCCCACACCTTAATCTGCATTTCCCTAACATGATAAAGATGTATTTGTTTTCTTTCCCAACGCATATACAAACATTTATCATTAGCATTTTGTCTCATTTCTATTTTCCAGCCAACCAAGAAAGTCACCTCCTTCCCCAGCTTTGTCGATGGTAAGTCAATCTGCATTCGCACAAAATCAAACCATTTTAATTGCATGGCCAGCTTCCAAGAAACCAATGTTGTTATTTCCCCCCAGTTTTTTGCATAAGATAAAACCATGGCCCAGGCTGTAAGTGTGCCGGTGGGGAGATGCGGTGTAATATAGCGTGAGGATTTAGTCGCTTAGATCACGACAGCCTGTTGTGTCCCTGGGAGAGTGTCAGGCAGTCCACATCTCCATATCACACACAGATTAATCTCACGCCACCAGCACCGCACCTCCATTAGCTCAAAGCCCTGCAGTCCAACCCTATCACTGCTTCACTATCTGCACTGTTTGGCTCCGTTTCTCTGGTGATTACACGAACCCCTCCACCGCTGTAGCCTCGCTCACACAAGCCCAGGCCTGAATGATGGCATGTCCTCCCTGTGTGACCGCGTGTTTTTCTGACCATCATTCATAGACACTCACATTCACACTTAGTCTGATTCACTTTAACTGGACCAATGCTGGTTCACTTTAACTGGACCAATGCTGGGTCACTTTAACAGGATCAATGCTGGTTCACTTTAACTGGAAGAATGCTGGTTCACTCTGGACCAATGCTGGTTCACTTTAACTGGACCAATACTGGTTCACTTTAACTGGACCAATACTGGTTTACTTTAACTGGGCCAATGCTTGGGCCAATGCTGGTTCACTTTAACTGGACCAATGCTGGTTCACTTTAACTGGACCAATACTGGTTCACTTTATCTGGACCAATACTGGTTCACTTTATCTGGACCAATACTGGTTCACTTTATCTGGACCAATACTGGTTCACTTTATCTGGACCAATGCTGGTTCACTTTAACCGGACCAATGCTGTTTCACTTTAACTGGACCAATACTGGTTCACTTTATCTGGACCAATGCTGGTTCACTTTAACCGGACCAATGCTGTTTCACTTTAACTGGACCAATGCTGGTTCACTTGGGGCCAAAAATACTTTATTTGTGGATGTAGCTAAGTAAGTAAAAAACTGAATTATTTGTAGCGACCTTCAAGAAGGGTCGTCTGTACACAGGAGGCACATGCCAGACCTATTATACATGTTTTTAGTGTTAGAAGAAACCTGAGCACCTCTGGAAATCCCGGGTGCAGACACAGAGAGAACATGACTACTCCACACAGAGAGGCCCATCTGGAGGTGAAATCAAACCCAGGACCTATAATGTTATGTAACCACTTATCCCTCAAGTCAGTTCACATCTTTCAAAACAAATTTTTGGAGCATATTTTCCTCAGACGTGAACCAGACTTCCAGTTACAGTAAAACACACTTAGCTCCGCCTTCTTATGGAGCTAATGGGAAAGAGTCATCTCATAAGTCATAATTCTAATGTAATTTATAGTTTGTCAAGGGCTGCATTCAAATTCATTGAAAACTAGAGGTGGGACAAAGTCATTGTTTAGCAAGTCACAAGTCAGTCTCAATTCATTGCCCTCAAGTCCCGAGTCAAGTCACGAGTCAAGACAGGCAAGTCCCGAGTCGAGTCCAAGTCAAAGGCCAACAAATCTCAAGTCAGTCCCAAGTCCTACGGTCCTAAAGGACTGAAGGGACCAATGGAGGGGAAGGAACCTGGCCTGTATGAACTGGACCAGCATTAGTAATATCTCATAATTACCAATATATCATTACATAATAAAATGTCTCATATAAATTAATTCAATCAGTCAAAGCACTGATTCTCATATCAATGCACCATAAACAATAGTGCAAATATTAATCTAGCTTAGTGCACATAATCAAAACAACTATCTAATGTATGCAAACTTTAGCAGGAGGAGCACAGCAAAAACATACTCATAATAATAGGCCTCGGCGCCCACACAGAAAAATATAAGAAAGAGCCAACAGAGCAGCGCAGGCTAGCGCTAGTTTGACTCACCAGTTCCTCTTTAAAACACGGCACACAGTGTGACAACTGCGTCGATTCAATTGTATGAGGCGCCTGTAGTGAAAGCATATCAATTACGGTTTGCAGAACAAAATATGACATTAGGTCGCGATAAATACCTGCAGCTCGCTCATTTCCAGCTCCCCTACGACAACACACCCACCGGTGAATGCAGTCCGCTTGTTTAGGGAAGTGTTGCTGCGCGAACTGCGGAGAACTCACGTTCGAACTCTCTCGCGAGCGCTACAACTACCGCGAGGCTTTGTTTCTTCAGAGACGGCATAGATAGAAAGAGAGATGCGGAGAAAGGTAAAAATGGCCCGGGTTACGCAAGTCTTTACAAGTCAATTGGCGCAAGTCCAAGTGAAAGTCAGAGTCATTGATGTTAAAGTCCAAGTCGAGTAGCAAGTCTTTTTATATTTGGTCAAGTCGAGTCTAAAGTCATCAAAATCATGACTCGAGTCTGACTCGAGTCCACACCTCTGTTGAAAACATATCCTCCTTCCTCATCCTTATTGTCTTTCCTTCTCCTTTTGACCTTAGTAGCATTAAAACATTCTTAAACGTATGTACAATAAAAGCTTTTAAGTAAATGACAATGTACAAGTATGAATTTGGGTGCAGCCTGTGATCTATATGTTAATTATGCACATTGGGAATAGATAGAAAAAGATGGATAAACATGAAAAAAACAGACTGGTGGAACTTCCGCTACAATATGAAATGCTCACATCTTCATCTGTGACTGTACATCTGGCTTTTTCAAAGATAAAATATGTCATTAATAGATGGCATACTTAGCTGCTTTGTATTGACTTAAACTGCTGATGTATTCAATGTAATGTTCTCCTTGAGGGAAGAAATCACGCACTCCAATGAATGCACAAAATCATGCATGTGTTTGTATCCACACCAGCCACGCCAAAGGATTTCATTGCTGAGATTTTAAGCTATAGTCACTGAAGCAAAGAAAGTAAATGGATTCTGTTTCTATAAGTTTTGTTGTTTCTTGCAGCAATGAGTTGAAGCAATTGCATTCCCTCTCTCCAAACCTCCAGGTCCACTTTCTTTAGATTGAAGATCAAAATACTTCCAGACTCTAGGCTCTTCCCCATGTGTCCTCTGTTAATGGCCTCCCTCTGTGTGTTTCTAGCGATAGTCCCAAGACTGCGTGAGCCAGAAGACCTGATTCATGGCATTATCTTTGCTACTAAATACAATGGTTAGTCTATTTGAGGGTGGGGGAAATATGCAAACTCCACACGGAAAGAGCTGGTGATATAAACACACAATTAGTGACTTTGTATTCACTGGTTTATATATATCTGTAAATTCGGGGACATTTTAACCTTTTCCCTATTATTAGTATTTTTTGCAGATATCCAAGTAATTACTATTTTCTCCTATTTTTTAAAGATTGCCTAATTTTCCCCAAAAGTAATCTCTTTATAACATCAGGAGGGTCTTATGCAACATACCTGAACACAAATGAGGAAAATTAAATGGGAGAAAATTCTAGTTCAAGGTCTTAAATTTATTTTCTAAAGGATTTGCATTTGTCGGTTTCATTGTAGCAGATCTAAGACCTCGAACAACTCACCTCATTGCACATGTTTCATTTGATCACATTCGAAAGGTGCATTTTTCTCATTGTCCACCACCTGTTTTTTTATCTATGGAGATTATTGCTTTTAAGTGCTCCACAAACTACAAAATTGCACTTAATTAGAGGCATAAGGAAATATACTATACATAATGTTGGGTTTACAATTATTGTGTTACATGTATTGTTTCTGAAAATGTTAACAATAAATATTAATATTGAATCAGAGAGGGAAGTAAAATACATTAGTCATGATTATTGAGCCAAAAGACAAGAAAGAATTTAGTATTTTTCTGACATGCTGAACCGTCGACAGCTAAAATGCTTTCATTCAAAAGAAAACGTACAAAGGGTAAATATTGAGACCAAAATGTATTGTTTTAGTGCTCTGTTATTTAATGATAAGTCGGTCAAAAAAATCATTACAAGCATACGTTTAAGCATCTACTCAGTGGTACTCAAACCGGTCCAAAAAGGGCTGGTGTGGCTGCAGGTTTTCATTCCAAACGAGCAGGAGCACCCCAGACTCCACCCATTTTCTCAAGAAAGTCCAATTTCATCTTGAGGACTTGGTGAAATGGGTGCTGTCTGGTTTACTTTCTGCTTTGGTTGGAATAAAACCTTGCAGCCACATGGCCTTTCAGGACCGGCTTGAAGACCAACATTTATGCGGCCATCGGCCAACTCCGGTGGATGCACTCACAGTAAGACTGCTCTCGTGTAATGAAAATAAAAACGCCAAAAAGAAATCTCTATGGAAGAAAAATCAGGTGGAGGACTGAAAATGTTGATAGTCCATTAGTTCATACAGTAATTGTCTTCTATTGCTATTCTTGCTTTGCTTTGTTGCGCTGGGGCAGAGCAACCTCCTGTAAGCACTTGACCATCAGACTTTGGCTCTCTTTCTAGACCTGCTTTAGTGATTACAAGACCCCTCCACCAGAGTGACCTCAGAGCCGCCTGGACTGCTGCTAATGACCTCTCCTCTACCCTCTCCCTCTCTGTCTCTCTCTCTCTCTGTCTGTCTGTGTCCCTGGCTGCAGTTCCGGGCCCCTGTGAGCCAGAAGACCTGATTGACGGCATTATCTTTGCTGCTAACTACCTTGGCTCCACACAGCTGCTGTCGGAGAGAAACCCCTCCAAGAACATCCGTATGATGCAGGCCCAGGAGGCAGTGAGCCGGGTCAAGGTTTGTGCACAAAACAAAAACAAATACCAACCTACGCACGCTAATGACTCACAAAAGCTGTATCTGCGCTGCCCTTAAAAGAGTGAGGCATTGATGTGCATGAATAGTTTTCCTTCTCTAAGTGGTTTTTAAAGTGTTAAAGTGATTCTCTGTTATGTCAAGGCTCTGTTAGGTTGTGCCAGAGCATAGCTGTACAGTACTTCTTTATATGATTCTTTTCTTTGATCCTCAGCTTAGAATGCGGCCGTGGGTCTGTAATTGTGTTGCAAACGTATGAATTGAAGTTGCCAGGATTTTTTGATTTCATATTTCTAACCCTCATCTTGCATTATTGTTATTAGCTTTCCAATTTTGCTTACAATTTCCCATTGTGTGTGTGTGTGTGTGTGTGTGTGTGTGTGTGCATAATCTATTGCAATTCAAATAGCGAGTTCAATTTAGACTCTTTTTTTTTGTGTTTTAGTGCGCTTCCGAAATATAGTAATAATGAATGGCTGTGAGTCCATCCCCATTATTTCCATCTATTACAGATATTACTTGGAGGGACAAATATCAATTCAAATCCATTTATTTTGTGGAGCCCATAATCACAGCGCTGTCGTCTTGCGGGACTTTTTTTTTCTTGAGATTGTAGATTCATAAATGGAACGAATGAAAATCTAACAATGTAATGAAGAAAAATTGGTCACTTGATAGTAAATTATGTATGTGTAGTTCCTGTTATGCCAACAATCAGTGCTAAACCATTTATGAATTGAACTTAATTTGCTTAATATTAATGCTTATAGAGGCGTACATCTTAATGCTACGAATGCTAAAGCTGGGGGACCTCATTTTCAAACCATAATGAAAACAAAATCCATCTGACTAGTCCTTTTTCTCCCTAAAAACAGTTGGGCTCTTTCACTACTTTTCACATACATGTATTTTTGGCTTCTGTCACATATTTTTTTTTCAGACATAAAATTGAAAAAAACAAATAGTGACTCGCTGGACTCTTTTGGACTTTTTTTTTTTTTTTTTTTTTTTTACAATACTAAGAGATCCTTTATTTGTCCCACAGTGGGGAAATAAGGAGCACACAAGACAAAATAAATGAACACAGCTCTATACTAAACTCTATATTATATAAAATAAAAATCTCTAAGGAAGCAGTCTATAATCTATGATAAGAAGAAAGAATTAAGTACAAAATCTCTGACTTTTGCATAGTTAAGAAGAAATTATAAATCCTGTATATTCTAGTGCAGGAATACATAGTTGCAAAAGATAACAGGGTATTGATTTTAATTTACCTAGACTTTCAGTTCGAACAAATAACATGTATTATTTGTGAAGAAAAACAATGACTACGGTTTCTTTACTCATCGGCTTTAAGAGCTGTGTCCTTGAAGTAGATTTGTGAAGATTGTGTTACAGTATGAGTCACTGCTCCAACTTTGCACAAAACATGAAGCAGTCGACTTCACTTAAATCAATACATTATTCAACGCTTCTAGGTGGCACTTGTGCATCGCTGAAACCTACATTATGCATTTTTCATTCATCTGTTTTTGCGCTTGTCCCACTTTCCCTTTTCTTCTTTTCATGTGTCTTTTAAAACAGTTATGTTCGACAAATCAGTATTATTTGTAAAATCGATGAACGTGGTTTTTGGTCTGACACAAAGGGAGTAATTGTGTTCTAGTGTAGATTTCACGGTGGGGCTGCTTCCTGGGTGCTCGGTAATGTGTGTGCGATGTGTTTTATGTGATGATGAGAGATGAGGACCGAACATACGCCAGATGTCGCTGCTTTATAGCCATTGTAAATTCAACGACAACACATCTGCATTTGGAGACCTTCAAGCACGAACGGGTTGCATACAGACCCAGAATGTAATCACGGCATTCATCTCCCAAAAAACTTGTAACAGAAATCGACGAACTGAGAGTAATGTGACTGAGTTCTTGGTTCCCAATCCATTCTCAACGCATAGATCATCTGCAGCTAAGTTCTATATTTGCCAACAAGCCAACAAGGCAATGTCAACCAAATGTTAGTTTAGTTGAGCCTTTTTTGAAAGGGACTGTGCACTGCAACGTAAAGCTGAGAGACAGATATGTTGGGCCCCAGATTATAGCTACAGCGAGTTTCCATCTGCAGTCCCTGATTACGTTATGTTTGCCAACGGCAGCCAGAGTCAGCTCGGCATCTGTCACTATTATTGTTCATGTCTAGTTTTTCAAAAATTAATTTAGAAATAAGAATAAAATATCAGGAACTTGTGCGAGGCCCACTGTGCTCGCTAACACAAACTAGCCATTGAGGCACTTTCACTTCAGCCTCACCAATATAGTCAGGCTGGGCCTTGTTGTAAAGTTCAGAACCTTTGGGATCAGGTCGTTATCTTTGTAACTTTGAATTTACTTTGTATTATTAATCTTTATTTCAGACTCAAGATAAAATCGGTCCAAAAAAAAAAAAAAAAAAAGAGAAGACAAAAAAAAAGACAATGCATTCAATTGTATAGAGTCAGTCCAAGCAAGTTTATACTGTAGATGGTAGAGTGTATTTTAACTTAGTGTATATTATGTAAATACTGGTTTTTCCATAATATACTACTGTATGTAGCTGTGGTCGGAATCAACATCATCAAAGCACAGAACAGCCCGAATCCAGGCCGAACACTTTTATAATCCATGATTAACTCTAGTTAACTAAAGTGGCCCTTTAACTAAAATGGTTGGACACCCCTGTTGTATGAGATGGTTAGGTTGAAGGGTCTGCTACTTTGGCACCTGAAGTAGAGACCATACCATACTATAACAGGAACTTTTATTTAACATTATTATTAATCTGTAATCTTAAATAACCTGAGCTTTAATGGGACTCTTCCTTGAACCATTATTCATCATTCTGTAATATTAATTCTTTAAGTACAACGAAAGAAAGAAACATAAGCCACTTCCCTGTATAGAAAGTGTCCTGGAGATTCAGGGGCTCATGTAACCATTCTTCTGCGCCTAAAGGGTTTCATTTAAAAAATAATTAGTAACGATCTGAACAAAATATATTGGGAATCCATCTCCACATTCTCCCGTGTCATTGTTGTTCCTTTTGGCATGTTGATCTTCACATGTTTTGAGTTTATCACATTCAGCTGAAGAAAAGAAAAATCTCCTGACAGATTGAAACCATGGCAACAGTCAGCTGTCATCTTTTTGTTCTTCATCAAAACAGCTCCTGTGAACAAAAGATAAAAGCAATATGCACTAAAGAAATGGAAGTTGAATTAATCTTGTTATGAAAAAACACCACAGTTCTGCAGTAGATATTGGACTTTCAAATTAGCAAGATGAACTACTTTGTACTTTGATTTAATATTTATGCCTTCATCTCCCTACGCAGTTCCTTGTGTCATCTCGTTGCTTACCTCATCGCTGGAGATCAGTGAAAACCCACAAATGTCTCTCGTGTGTCACTGCTCATCGCAAATCTGAAGAAAATGTACATATGAAAAGGATCCGGTTCAGAGTGGCAGAACTGGTGGCAGAAATATGAAACACAAAATCCAGCTCAAAGATAAAGCTCTCCCTTAAAGCAGTTTCGTCCTGCAATGACATGACCTGGAAATTATTTTGGGAACACTGTTAAAAATCCTTACCTCAGGCTTTTGCTCCTTTTTGCCCTTAAATCCATTTGTAAGAATATTTCCGTAAGAATAGCTGGAAATAACCTATAAGTACTATCAAATCGTTTGCAGTAATTTGTGGGGAAAGGGGGTTTTGTGGGATCATTTATGATACAAGGTCATGTGGAAAACATTTGAACGCAGGGACTGACAATCAACAGAACAGACCAGGAAGTAAAACTAGAAATGTTCATAAGAAAACTGATACTTTATGAACTATTTGTAAAAAAATTAACAGTGGAGGCTAATCTGACACAAACAAGTGCGCAGAGCAGTTCTGGTGGGGTCTTTATCTACATTGTTTTCACAGAAAGATCCAGAACTGTTTAGATGAAAAATGTATTTGATAGATTTTGGAATAGAGTTACATAATAATCAGGTGATCAAAAATCCCATAATAGTATAATCACCATCACTATAGGACTGGAAGTGTGATTTGTTCCCTCACATTGGCTTTGTTTTTGAATTTGGCTCAATCTTGTTCAAATAAAATAAAACTTAATATAAAAAAAAAAGATTTGAATGAGAATAAGAGATAAAAATAAACCAATGGGATTTGTTCATCCCCAACGAACCAATGGGATGCGTTTACCCCCTTCACCCCTCTTCCTGTTTCTCCTGATCAGTTATCAGATTTTCTAAAATCTAAAAGGGCTGAACAGAAAATACTAATTTCAAGTTTGCCACTCACTCTCCCTGTTGTAACAAAGAAAATAAAATTCTAGATGTTTGGTACAACTAATCCAACAACTAAACCCCTCTGACAATCACCAATCAGTCTCTCACAATTTCATACAAGGCAGTGTATCATTTTACAGCCGCAGCCGCCCTATACTGTCTGAGGTCTCCCGTCACAGTACTAACCAGACCCTGTCCATCTTGTCGTGCAGTTAGCTATTAAAAACTAGCTATTAATAAAAGGAAGGGGACGGATATATTTTGTTTTAGGTTATAAAGAGAGAAACAGAAGTTATAATGTTTACGATTCGCTTTAGCCTGGATCCAGACAAACCGTTTTGACATACTAATGGTAGTTCAATGTACATGTAACTTTTTGTTTACCCCAAGGAGACTACAACCAAATGAATGGATAATCGTGATTATTTGTAAAGATAATCTGATAAAAGATACAATATTAGTCTTAGTTTTAGAGGGGTTTTTTCATAGTGTGTTGTACATCCACTCTGTATCCTGTCAATCACATCAAAACACCCACTGAGAATTCAACGGATCAGAGATGTGTGTTTGCATGTTGTTGTGTGTTGTGTTAGAATAAGAAAAGCAATTATTCCTGTCTGTAATTGCTGTTTGGATTTGAATCTGATAACCAACGCGGCTGTGCTATCTCTCCTACACACACAAGGACATGATTCACACACACTCGCTCTCCTTCTGCTCCTCTCCTCCTCGCTCTTTCTTTTCTGGAGATAGCACAGCTGCTGTTTGGTTTCTAACATGTCTACCTGCTTTGATTTACCTTATTTTATTTCCTCTTGTCTGTTGTGCTCCCGTATCCGCTGACCCCGTCCCACTACCGCCTGTCCACTGCCAGAGGGTACAGAAGGCCGCTAAAATCAAGAAAAAGGCGGTGTGTTCTCCATGAAACCAAAGCCCCTATAGTTTCATGACTACATCGTCTTCTCATTCATGTCCTCGTCTCCCATCTGTTTTTATGTGTGCTGAGAAGTTCTGTGTACACTATATTTGTGTCCTTTTTTTTTTAAATCTTGGTTTAGTCTTTGCTTTTGACCCAATTTTTTTGTTTTGATTATTTGTGAACTCATCCTCAGTTTGGCTAAATCTGGTACAACTGTAATACATATTTTAGGCTTTTCATTTTTAGTCAGTGCTTTAGTCCTTGTTGTTTTTTGTCAATTTAGGAATGACATTATATACTGTATATATTTCAGAAAAGGGTCTATTTTTCTGTCTTTTCACATAAAGAGACCGTATGTACTATTTTATTTTTAAATGGCATCTTTTTCTCGTGTCCAGAAGTATTAGGTGAATACGTTACATATAACAGACATGTCCACATTATTCCACAAAAAGGTTTTCAAGCAGAATGAGTCTTGGGTTGCCAGTTTCTTTTCTATTTTCTTTTTAAATTGCAAAATTCAAACCATTCAAACAAAATAGCCCCAAACATTTAAATCCAAGCAATTACAAAAATACAATATATACAGTTTTTGCCATTTCTAGATAAACCCCAGCTGGTGGTTTGCATCAGTAACCAGTGCTGAGGAGCTACATGTGTCACTGGGAGCAAGATTCTGGCAACACAAGTTGGATTAGCCCAGTAAGACATGGCCTCTCTACTAGGCATTGCGTCTGCTTTTGTGAAGTTTTGTGAATATAGAACCACAGATATCAATATGGTACAGTTTTTCATACATTACTCACAATATTGAGAAGCTGCTATTGCCGATGAACGCATTCTTTAATAAATGTCAATGATACATGACAGTACAACAATTTGTCCCAATAGAACATAATCTTTTTTCTAACTAGTCGTATTTACTTGCCATCTTCTTCATCGTCTCCACCCAGCAGCTTCCACGCACTCTTGCAACATGCGAGTTAGAGGATATCTCCAAGAAATTGATATTGTTAAACATATTACTGTCGCCTGGGAATACCTCTGCTGCTGTGTGTGCTTCTCAAACTGCACGATAGATATTCACTTGGTGTTTGCCAGGCCAAGATCACATAGCATGTTTACAACCATAAAATCCAAAGGGTTATAGGATTTGCCAATGGAATCAAGTGGCTTTCGTGTTTTTTCAAGCACGGTACCATTTATTACCGGTATTTGTGGGTTTCCATTGGCAAACCAGAAACAAAATACTTTGAATTATATTTTCTTATTTTAATTATGTATTAGCCTTGAACACGGGGCAGTGTAAAGCTCCACGCCCCATTTTAGAAAGCCAAAACTTTATTGAGCAAATGATAATCAAAATACCTAACAACCAATTCATAAATTACTGTGACTGTTGGCATTTTAATTCAAAATGTATAAAAAACATCTTATAATTAAATTCCTATCATAAACAACAAACAAAAACAAAATGGAAGCATACCAAACAAATTACGGGAACACACTGAAAAGCTTGTTTTGTCTTTTCGCCCTTGCTCATATCTGATGCATGTTGACTCTCGGACATTAGTGCACGGCAGATCAGTGAAAGGCATTCAACGCTGCATACACAGAGCTCTTGTGGCGTGAGAGCCAGCTGGTCGAGGTTTAGTGTAAATCTGCTTGTTGTTCCTGTGCCAAACTCACCATCACCATTTCATCACAGCCCACGGCACGGAGACATGTTTTATTTATGTAACCAGCTTCACCTCCGCACACTTCTATGTCCACCCAGAAAACTGCATGTGTCCACGTAATTAGACAGCATCGGAGAATACAGTACTGTGCACGAAGCGGGAAGGGTTTTTTCACTCAACAAAAGTCATAAAAATGTCATTTGATTGTCTACAATTATGTGTATCAGGAGTACAGATGGACTATGTGACTTTAGCAGGGATGTTACAAAGTATGGCATACACGTAATTTAGATATAGGGTACTACTATAAAACCCTATTGTACTAAAAACGTGAAAAATAGTCCCCCATAACGCCCTCCCCAATCCCCCAGCCCCCTCTATTTGGGGTCAGGACTGCCCTTAAAAAGAGATTCTGTGATCTCAGTGGGACTTTCCTGGTTAGATAAAGGTCAATGAATTAATAAATATTCAAGTAAGTAATCACACTGACTTTGCAAAAAAGTGTGCCATCGGATTTAAATGTGTGAAAGGCTTACCATGTTGTCCTCATCAAGCAGTTATTTCAAACGCCAGGTATATTTTAATGACACTGAAATTGTCTCACATAGTTTCTGAGCAAATGCTTTCAAAAATATATGTATATAAAAAAAAATATGTATTGCCAATAACAAAACATGTTGAAGATTGTGATCAGTATATGGGGGGGGGAGCTGATGAATTGTAAATAAAGTTGTAAAAAATATATATTGAAATTGTAAATATATATACACAGGGTGGAACTATGTTAAATACAACTTTTTAGAACGCATTGTCCCAAACTGATATTTATGTGTTTGTATGTAAAAAAACCACCAGCTCATGTATAGGGCCTGATGAGACTGATGATTTTCAATACATGTTTGAGCATTAGAAATTCTTGATTAATGCCATGCTGTGAAACATGTCAAATCAAAAAGTTACATAATTCAAAACTTTAGGTCATCTGCAAGAGCAAAAAGTCCTGGAGCTCATATTTTCAACTCTATATTTTGAGTCACATTCGTCATATTCTTGTTTTAACCTGGTTTACAGCTGTGCACAGTACTGTATCGGTTGAATGGCACTAATGTTACTGACTTGGACCAAACTATTTGTGCAGAATGCCGATGGCGACACCCAGACCCTGACGGAGGTGGACCTGTTCATCTCCACTCAGAGGATCAAAGTCTTGAATGCAGACACGCAGGTGAGCCTATAACAAACATATTGTTTGCTTTTATCAGTTGGTTGCACTGGCCGAGGCTGTAATAATAACCACCACACAAAAACTGCAGGGCCGAAAGTATTGCAAAAATAGGTTATTAGTTTACGCTGCATTATGAGAGCGAGTTCCCGGAGTGACTTTACAATGAAGATAAATAGGGCTTTAATGACATAGCAGAAAAATGTTACACACTTTAAAATACATACAGTTGTGCTTTTGTCTTCCTGAACTGGCCTCTCCCAGTTTTACAACAGCTGCAGTTCTTCACACACTGTTTTATGAGTTCACAGACCATCGAGCAAAGCAGGCAAAGAACTCAAAAGTTTCTCAATGACAAAACTTTTATGAAAACCTTTGGACGGAACCCAGGAATGCTTTTCATTGTTTGGAATTACAATCTTGTCAGTCTGTCGCTAAAGGGAGGCACTGATTTGATTAGGGAGACAAACTTCTATGGTGGGGAGATTTTATTGCTTTGCCAACAGCAATGTTCCAACAATTCTACGAGCACACAGATGAAGTTATTTGCAGAATTTCAATCCATGTTGGCTCTTTTTTGGACTAATTCTCATAAAGAATAAGGTTGTGTTCGATCTTTGGTACAAATGACCTTGGTGCATTGCAGACTGAGCAATTAGATAGCACCACTTCTAATATCACTTTTTGCTAGTCCACAGGGCGGGCACATAAAAGGTTCTGTTTGTCATATGGCACAACATTAAAGACAAAATATGATGTACTAATTTTAGACTATTCGTGTTTTAGACTGAAATAATATCTTAAAATCTATCTCAAAAATATCTAATGAAACAAGTATGAAGTTTGAAAATGCTTTCCGTCTGTAACTATGCAACCGCCGACGGGAGGGTTTGGGTTTTTTCTCTTTTCCTTTTCACTTGAGAAATGGCCAAAACTTTGTTGTCATAATGAAACAACGACATCATTTGACATCATACTATTACAGGACTGAGACCGCGTGTTTGTGGCAGTTCCTGACAGTAGCGCGGATGGCTCTAAAAACTACTCCAGGTGTGTTTTGAACGAGGGAACAATGTGGTTAAAAGCATGTGATATTTTAGATGTGTTTTTGCCGTCACCAGAGATGGACAGGTTTAATACATTCTTGGCAAAGCGTAAACATCTCAAAGAAAACAAGAACATTAAGGCTAAATGAATAGGCCCGTTCCATTTGCAAAGACCTTTTTAATATCTTTTGGCTTTAGAGACGGCTTTCCTGTGGAGGCCCATTTTCACAGGAGGTGCACTTTGTGATTGAAGCCGCAGCGTCTCTTTGCCTTTTTCAAAATGATGAAAATAGCTTTATGCCTCAGAGGCCTTTAAACGTATACGTGTGGCAGATGATTCATTTGCAATAGTTGAGACGCTGTCAGTTTTTGTGTGTGGGCAGCCGCCTGGCAGGAACTGGTGCTTGGTGCAATGCAGTCTCTCTTTTTGTTCCTTCTCCATCTGGTTTGTGTGCCCTGCCAGTGGTAGAGAAAGAGCAGCCTTTTTTCTACATGTTAAAGAGCTCAAGGCAAAGTGATTAGGCCCTCTCACTGCAATTCATAAAACAACAAGTGCTGCAGGAGAAACATCAGTCTGAGATTATAAACGGCGGATAAAGTCTTAATGAGATGTATAAAAGTCACACCGTTGTGTTTAGATTGTGAAGCGCCAGGTTTTAATATGGTACTAGCAACGGTAGTGGTAGTGTATAGTAGCAGAGGTTTTTGTATTGAGTAGAGTTGAGTAGTATTTTTCATTTATACAGTGGCTTTCACAAACCAGAGTAACAAAGCGCTTTACAATTGTGGGAATGTGTCTCTCACTCCACACAGACATGGGCTTGCCGTACATGAGGCGCATGCCAGAACTGTTTTTTCCTTTTTTTTTCTTGTTTCAAAAGTATTAAATGATAACAAATGACTGTTGGAGTTGAATGCCCCTCATAACCCAAATTCTAGTTTTAGGTTCACAAAGTCCATCCCTGAGCCTTTTTTAACAAATAAGGAACAAAAATCCATACTAACATTATCCCATAACTCCATTAAAAGACAGAATAATGTATAAACAAATATTTTTAGTTTTTTGGAGGTGAAAGCATCTTCTGGGAGAAAATGTAATTGTCTAATTAGTGATGATTTCATAAATTATACATTATTTATTGGGCAGGGACAATGCAGTCCTACAGTTACAGCAAAGAATGCATGCGTGACATTCAGGGTGTACAGTATGTATTAGTGAGTGTATAATTCTCATGATCTACCAGTATTAGTATTTATTGCCCTTGTGGCCACATGCAATAAACTATGTGATTGATTAGGCTCTTGAATCTCAAACTAGCATTCCATAACCCCACACATGCGGATAAATTAAAGCTTTCGTAGCTGAAACACTCACTGTATATTTATTTTCTGAAAGCAGCTGCAGTATCCAATGTTCTGTTACAGTTGAGAGAAGTATAATAAAGTGTGACATTTATTGATCAAGAATGCAGATGAAAGAGGCCGACTTCACAGCTCTGTCCAAAACCAAAGCAGGCTAATGCTAAAGACCAAATGCTAACTATCCTGAGCCAATCCAGGCCCGGTCCAAAACTAGTCTACGACCAGTCCAGATCTTTTATGCTACATTTGAACTTTTTAATTTAAGTTCAAAAGGTTAAACTAGTCACATAAAAAGAAAAAAGAAAAAAATAAGATAGATTTTAAACTCCATACAGAAACAAAAAGTAACTTAGTTTGGAAGACTAAAAAGTTGCATACACTGAGTACACATCTAAAAGCGGTCAAACTGACTCTTCTGGGAGTTCTAGTGTCAAATGGCTTTTCTCAACTGTCTTACACATCAAATCTGACATCCTGACATCATCCTGACAATTACCAGCCTGACTGAACAAACGTTATTACCGCCGCTTTTGTAACAGGCATCCCCACTGCACACCTGTTCATTATTTCAGACAAACATGTCCCCCAGATTTAATTTACCAAAGCATTGTGGGATGTAATCTGATTATACAGTGGATTTAAATGTAATCACAACACCGCCTGCTTGTTCCAGGAATACTTATATTTTATCCAATGCATAAGGGTGCACTAATGGTTTTTATTTTCTCCATGAGTCTCCGATCGATCTGACACAGTTTGATACGGCACCTGACTGGGAATGTTAACAACATAGATGCATTTCCATAGAGCCTCCAATTTACTGGTATCGATAAATAGAGGAAACATTGGATTTCCATAACATCTTCCTACCTTAGCGCCTTACATTGAATTATTCATCCAGTCCACATAATTGCTGGTGGGTGGGATACCTTTTCAATAATACATGTGGCTTGCTCCAATAGAAAGAGTCTTGTAACATTTTGTGAATTCATCAGGCCACATCATGCTCTATTTATCTTATTAGTTATGTTTACATCTTGTGGATACTTGTAAGAAGCAGCCCTGTCGCAATTGACTGAACAAAAGTGGTTATTTTTTCCTTTTTTTAACTTTTCTCTCGACTAAAGCTGATCTAAAAAAGCTTCTATTTGAACAGGCACAGTGCATAACAAAACCAGACGCAGGACAGATGCTAGGTGGTGCAAGGGTTTAGCATCAGCTCACATCCTCATTCAACATTCAGACCATGCAGAGTGTGTACAAACCTTCTTGGACACTTTTATGTGTGGCGTGTAAACATTAAGCTAAGGCAAGTTTAATTGTATAGCACGGTTCACACACAAGGCAAATCGAAGTGCTTAACAAAACAATCAAATGTATTAAAATCAAAAATAATCACAGTGCATTAAAAAGAGTGAAGATGCAATCCCTCAGTAGAATGCACAGCTAAACAGAGATTTTTTTAGTCTGGATTTGGACATTGTCAGAGTAGAATCCTGTCTCGCATTTTCAGGAAGTTCCACATTTTAGCTGCATTCTGTGAATCTGAAATGCTTGATTTGTTTTTGCTTACTAAAACTGTGAACTAAACTGTTTTGAGGGCTAGGAAGTAATTAAATTGATTTCTTATATAGTCCAATTTGATGTGGTTTTGAAAGTCAGGCTCCCCAGCTACAATTACAGCATACGTACCTCCAGGAGCAATTAGATGAGCATTAAAAAAGCACAGTGGGGATTGCGACTATTTGTGCCAACGACTTCATCATCCGCCACCACACACTCAACACAACCCCAAGTACTTTTACAGTTTTTTCAAATTTAGCCGGAAAAACGGTTGAAAACAAGAACATCGGGCCACACCATCCAACCGAATCCATTGCAGCTCCTACTGTTTTCTTTTTAATTCAATTTGTTTTCTGTCTGTAGGAAACAATGATGGACAATGCACTGCGGACCATCTCATACATCGCTGATATCGGGAACATCGTGGTGCTGATGGCGCGGAGGAGAATGCCACGGACCGCGTCACAGGACTGCATCGAGACCACACCGGGCGCTCCAGAGGCTAAGAAGCAGTACAAGATGATCTGCCATGTGTTTGAGTCCGAGGATGTGAGTACACAGCAAAGATATGATGCATTTGACAGTAAAAATAGCTTGGTATCCACAGTTGAATGAATGAATGCTGTGTTTCGAGACGTGGCAAACAAGAACAAAGAACAACAGCAAAACAGCAACAGAATAGAAAAAGAAATAATACGTGATAATAGACAATTTTACCGTATGTTTTGATTTATTAACAAAAATATTGCTCGAAAAGGAGTGGGAAGAAGTGAAGTTATTGCAGTGTGATATGAAGAGGATGGAAGGCAGTGTTGGGGCTGTACCAGATTGGTTCCATGTAATCGAGTAGTATTAGTAATCCAGAGAAAATGTGTTGTTTACAGGTCAAAAAACATATTTCTGTAGATGATTACAGTAGAACATATATGTAATGTGTAAAGCTACATTTCCTTATTAGAACTAGCTTGCATTCACAGTTATTGCTCTATAGAGGACATTGTTCACTGCAAAAGAAAAAATAGCAGTCCTTGAGACATCACCGTTCTGTTTCAAAGCAAGTTAGTCACAATTGAATGACATTTGAAGATTGAACTCAGAGCTGGGAGATTTTTTTTCACAAACACAATAAACGGTTAAATAGATTTTGTGGTCAAGGTCAAGGTCAAGTTTAGTTATATAGCACATTTTTGACTGTTACAAAGTGTGTTCCAGAAATTACAAAATACAACACACAAATAAAATACAGCGCAAAAATAAAATACTGGTCCACTGTCATAAAAGTTTCAATTTTGCTTGAGTTAATATATTTATTTATTGATATTTGACTAAATATATAATTATTGCTTTTATTTATAGAAAATCAAAAATAGAAAACAGCTGATTTGGATGGGGAAAAAAAACATATTCTTTGGGATATTACTTTGTTGATTACAAATGTTTCAACCATACTTTTTTCTTCACAAAATATCATGTTTCTCATACATTGGGCGGCACGGTGGCTGAGTGGATAGCACTCTCGCCTCTCAGCAAGAAGGTCCTGGGTTCGAATCCCGGTCGGACCAGGGCCTTTCTGAGTGGAGTTTGCATGTTCTCCCCGTGTCTGCGTAGGTTTCCTCCGGGTACTCCGGTTTCCCCTACCACTAAAAATATGTCCAATAGGCATGTCTGGCATGCGCCTCCTGTACTGGCGACCCCCGCTCCCATCTCTGTGTGGAGGGAGAGATAAATGCCCAAAATCAACAATTGTAAACCGCTTTGAGACTCAGATCTGCAGTGAAAAGGCGGTATATAAATAAAGATTACTTACTACTACTACTACTACATTGAATAAATACAATCTCCACTCTTTGTTCTTAGATAGCTATACATACACAAAGAATATATACTTAAACTTTAGGATTGTTATATTTTAATTTACTGTATTTACTAAAACAACAAGGGAATAACAAGTCCCTGCCCTACTAAGTCACTATTTAAGTCAATCTTTACTAAAAAACTGCAGAGAACTAACTACACTACGGCCATTTTGGTTAATAAAATGCTCTGACTTTGCCATGTGAAAAAGTGCTGCTTTATGTAGACTCCAATGATTTATCTGGGGGGTTAAGCTGTTTTGTGTGTCCACTTATGCAGATGAGCCAGACATTTTAGGCCCAGTTTGTGGAGTTGGCAGCGTGTACAGAGTTGGTCCGAGCAGCCAGCAGTGCAGTGCGTCTGTGCCAGTCCAAAGGCTCCTGTCTCTGCCTCTCTGCTCAGTCCACTGCCAGCTTCAAAGGGCCAGCCAGAATTATAATAGAAGCATTCAGTGGCTCTCCTCCGCTCCTAACTCTTTCTGCAGTTTGTGCCTGCTCCAATAGCTACACGCTGAGTATTAGATTATTATTGCCCAATTTTACCGAAGAACATTTAGAATTTTCAACTTGCAAAATCAGTTGACGATATCCGGTGGACTCAAACTATTTTAAGTGAAGGTCAGTTACTTCTCAAATTGTGAAGAGAGAGCGAAACTTTTTGACCCGCCCATGCTTACCGTCACTGTCCATCGATTGGTCAAAATGAATTCAAATCTTTGAAGCCCCTTGCCATTGGTTTAACTATTCTCCTCCAGCAAATCTTACTGGTCAAAGTTTAGCCAACTGTATTTAAACGTATTGTTGCAAAATGATTATTGCTCATGATGGTATAGGGTGCCATTGTCAGCACTGTACGAAGCTCTTTTCACACAATAAATGCAACACAAAATGCTCTACAATACATTAAAAACGATTCCAAATGACCCACCCAAATAACCCACAGACAAAAATATACACACACACACACACACACACACACACACACGCACACGCACACACACGTAGATTCACACACAGGCATATTAAAACCAGGGGAAAGTTGCTGACATCACCTTCATTAGCTCATGATGTGTTTTATTGAAATATGGTAATCAAGTCGTGTAGAAAGTGTTGGGATTTCAAGCAGAGCCGTGATCTCCAAACTATTCCCTCTGAGAGCTTCTTGTATGAAACATGTCGTTCCTTCTGTTAGCGTGTACAAGAATGTTGCTAGTGTGTGCAGGCTTTAGAAGTGATGCAGCACATACGAACATACACCATGAACTCTTGCATACTCCTTCGTTCTGTCTGTCTGATTTCTCTTATGATGTAAAATGTATGAAACTTTTGAGGGGCTAGTTTTATATGGTGAAGAGCTACACAAATTAGATTCAACGTTTAACTTCTAACTCTTGCATACTGCACAAAATGTACTGGAAAAATGCAGATGAACGTGTTGCTTTTCCAAATTGCATCGTGTACTGCCCTTTGCTCAATGGTTATAAAACAAATGGCGCGCCTCTACTGTAATATTCCTCATACATTTTGCATAGATTGTTCTAAAGTTGCTTTGTTGAATTGTACAGGCCCAGCTAATAGCGCAGTCCATTGGCCAGGCCTTCAGTGTCGCTTACCAGGAGTTTCTTCGAGCCAACGGCATTAACCCGGAGGACCTGAGCCAAAAGGAGTACAGCGACATCATCAACACTCAAGAGATGTACAACGACGACCTCATACACTTCTCCAACTCTGAGAACTGTAAAGAGGTTTGTATGAGACTGTTTTTTTTATACGCAACTGTGACTTTTCATTCAGTGCTGGCAGTGGATGCGGTATTGATCACATCTTTTCCAATCTTGCTAATCTGTCTTGCTGTTAAAAGTCATACACACATATAAGTTTAAGTTTATTTAAGAAAAGCCCTTTGAGATTAATCAACTATGGTATCTGTAGAACTTCAGCTTAAAAAACGTACATCTGAGGTACCTCAAATTTGTTTTCATAAATACTAATATTGTTTGTTGTCTTCATTGTATTAGAAAACGTGTAAACGATGAATTATATACGTCAGGGTTAGGGTCTCTTTTTCACTTTTGTGCCTGAAAAAGCTGATCAGATAATGTGACAGAGGCCCAAAAACTAGTGATATAACCAAAGTGTTTCGAAAGAGAAGAACAAGTTGGATGGATTATATTATATGGGGAATGGTTTGTGGTCTGTAAGTTAGGTCCCCCAGCTTTAATAGTAATTGAGATATTGTTATTTATTCATTAACTTATTTAAGCAGATGGAGCCCCATTGAGATAGATCATCTTATTTTTGAGGGGGTCTTTTAATAATTTAACTTTATTTAGCAGTTATTAGTAGACACCATTGTGTGTCTTACTAGCCATAACATCATCCTTATTATCAATGCACAACTGATCTTAACTTAAGCAGAAACAAGGCCGAACATCAAGCTAATAAAGTTGTTTTTTGAAAAAGGAAGTCTAATAGGCAAACAGAATTCAGGCTATGCCAAGACAAGTTCAGAATACTAATTAACGTCTACTTAAAAGGTCAGTTAGTTTGACGTTAACAAGTGTAGCCTACCCTTTTATTAAAATGTTAGCAAATCTATTGTACTTCTATTCAAAATGCTGCTCTGGTAAAAGTTGTGAGTAATATAATATATGATATATTTGATGGTAGTCTTTCTCTGTAGTCAGCTCAGAGCTCTGAAGCGTTACCAGCGGCTTTGGGTGAAATCACAAACCATGAAAGTGCTTCTGCTTCTCTTGCTACCTAATGGGTAGCAATATACTGCCTGTCATTTTCATTATAAGGCTTGTACTAAGGTGAGAAAAAGAGTTTTATCTAAAATGTTTTGCTAGATAAAAGAAAAGGATAGCTGCATTTTAAACAAAGAAAAATAAAACAAGTCAGACATGGTTAGTTCGGACACCGGCACAAGTTTGTTCAATTTAAGCCTTGTGTATTAACGCTTATAGGAATGAGCAGCGCTAACCCAGTATCTAACAGCATGGTGGCTAGCACTCATGCTTCACAGCAAGAGGGTTCTGGGTTTGAATCGTAGTGGATGGGTCAAATACAGAGGATTTTAAAGGAAAATAAAGTATACCATAAATTTGACATGGGAACACTTTGATTAGCATAAAAAACCTCTTATTTAAATTCAATGTGAGAATGTACATCAAGTATGTGGCGCCTTGCTCAAGATTGGCTCTTATCAGGTTTCTATGACTTGCATATGGTCACATCAGCTCTGTCGACTCAGATTCAGATTCAGATTAATTTATTTGCCATTTGCAGTAAAACCACATTGGAAAACTGTGCAAGACTACCCCGGTGTGCACCAGACAGAGAAGACGACACACACCAGAGCTCTTGCCACGGCGCCATCTTTACGGCGCCATGCGACAAACAGTAGAATAAACAGCAGAGAGCAATAACATACAGTTTCACAGACAGTTGGATAGACACATTTGTGCTTTGTATAAAGCACGGATTTTTTCTCGGGATGAAGCACCTCCTACAGCCGGCCCAATGTGGCTGTCAGAGAGGGGCGGGGTCAGGGAGGGGGAGAGTCGGAAACACAGTGAGGAGTGGAGGGGAGGGAGGGAGGCAAGATGGATAGAGGGAGGCGGGGGGAGGGGATCCAAGCTGGAGACTGAAATAGTGTGAGTTGTTGTAGATGGGACCTTTGTTATTATGGCCTTGGCCCGAGGAATGTGATATAAGAGTGGAGAGAAGGCACAGGAGGAGAAAAACACATCGCCTCAGGGGGACAATATTAAATGCAATGTCAGGCAGATATTTTATTAAATCCAATTAAACCGAATTGCGGCGCCCTCAGACCCCGTACACAGGGGCAAATCCAAGCCGGGTCAGAGAGTTCAAGCCTGACACACAATGTCATTCAATCTCAACTCCAGAGTTTTATGTCCATCGAGTGAACGAGCTGCGAGATCTTACGTCTATGATTTACGAGTCTATGAACTCGTTTTACGGTCTATGATTGCCATCTAACTTTAATATTGAAGGGGGTTTACTGTATTCTAAGTTGTTTACCACTGCCTCTCGTCTGTGTTTGTAGCTGACTTTGGAGAAGGCTAAAGGAGAGATCCTGGGCGTGGTGATTGTAGAGTCGGGTTGGGGTTCCATTTTACCAACAGTGATCTTGGCCAACATGATGAACGGAGGGCCAGCCGCACGCTCTGGAAAGCTCAAGATTGGGGACCAGATCATGTCCATCAACAACACCAGCCTTGTGGGACTGCCCCTTGCCACGTGCCAGGGAATTATCAAGGTACAATCATCAATAAATATACACACAAATGAGACAATATCTGCTATTTTACGATATTGTGGTGTATCAGATACTGTGGCCATACTGTGGTCATTCTTGCATGCAAAAGCTGGATCCCGTCAGACCTCAGAAGCTGTGCAGAACCAATGCATTGCTATAATTAAAAGTCACAAAATCAAGCTTTGAAACAATATTAATTTCCTTAGAGTTCCTTATATGATTGGTCTCTCAAATAAAGTCTACAACAGGATGGAAGAGTCTGAGATCTATTAACTTATTTTGCCCAGAAAATTACTTATTTAGTCCTTTCTTTTAGGGATTCCTGTTAAAATAGGTAACTCCACAATGAATTGTTAACGTTTGCAATTATTATCACATCCCTCATTCCTTGGTATCTTTAAAATTGCATTCAGATTACAACTCTTTAATTGTTGTGTTTTCAGGGCTTAAAGAATCAGGTCCAGGTAAAAATGAATATTGTGAGCTGTCCTCCTGTTACTACCGTCCTCATCAAGAGACCAGACCTCAAGTATCAGCTGGGATTCAGTGTCCAAAATGGCATCGTAAGTGTGAACACCTCCCTTGTACTTTACATAAATACAGCGTAATACGTGCCCATAACAGTGTCTCTGTTTGTTTGGCAGATCTGTAGTTTGATGCGAGGGGGCATTGCTGAACGAGGGGGGGTCCGTGTTGGTCACCGCATCATTGAGATCAACGGGCAGAGCGTGGTCGCAACAGCACATGAGAAGATTGTCCAGGCTCTGTCCAACTCTGTGGGAGAGGTGTGTTTCTCAATACATTTTGTTTCTTGAAAAAGATCATTTAAAACACATTATACCAAATATTATTTTTTTTACCATAGTATACAGCGTTGTTCTCTGGTCGAAAAACACAGATGGAGATGTCTTTAGTTCCATCCATGCTGATATATCTGTAAAAACATGTCCCTTTTGTCTAAATACTCAAATCTACGACATTTTTTTTTTATTGGATGACATGGAGAGAGTTGTTTTGAGCTTTTTAGAACAAAAATATATACTTTTTTGCTATTTCTCCAATCAATTGACATTCTTTAAAACTGTGTAACTTCAATCAAACCACAGACTCTTGATTTAAATGTAAATAAATATAGTGGAATATATTTGTCCACATTCTGTCACTAGATATCAGTGTTGGTGCAATACTCACACATATTCTAATGCAGCTGTTCCCCTAAAGCTCTCAGGGTTTCCTCAATAATAATTCATCATCTTCATGGCTTAGAAAAGGTTGTTTTAATGAGACAAAAAAATACCTACCTACCATTACATGGTCCAGGATAAGACAAAAAAAAAAATAATAATGATAATAATAATAATAATTAACATTTGATTCTGATGTTCTGTTTCTTCATCTATGTGTAAATAATTTCTAATCTTCAAGTGACCCGGACCCCACTTTGGGAAACAATATTCAACTTCAAGCATATAGTTGCATAAATGTCTTTGCTCTTACATGTTCCTTCTTTGGATTTGAATGTGTGAGTAGATTAAGACGATATTAAAGTATTTACAGCGAGCTTAGACGCATAGCAGCTACTTAGGAAGGTTGCTCACCCATCATCTGTTCTTCAGTTAGCAGGTTTTCCAGACGTTTCGTTCTCATCCTTGAAAAAGTTCTTTGGATAAGAACAAAATGTCCTGTATGTGCGCTACAACATTGCAATTTCCCCATTGTGGGACGAATAAAGGATATGCTATCTTATCCTAAAGACAGGTATTGCTTTTTCTTGTTTGCAGATCCACATGAAGACGATGCCAGCCGCCATGTTCAGACTCCTAACAGGACAGGAAACACCAATGTACATATAGAAATGTCCATAAACCACTCAGAGACGGACCGTAGAGGAGCTGATGCTCTTCTCCTCCTATATTTAAATTCAACATAATCACATTTATTTTTACTTAACATGCAGTGGCCATAGCAACAACATAAGGCGCTTTTTACCATTGGACCAGCCACACAAAATGTACTGTTGTATGTCGTATGAACTTGTGATGCCCACAATTTATTTCTAAATTGATTTAATGCAATCTATACATACTTGTGTATATCCCCATGTCCCTTATGTTTATTTATTTCTCATGTAAATATATGCATTTTTTTTGCTAATATTGCTATTGACGGCAGTGGAGACGGTTCACGGCTCATTTGTAAATATATATTGTATGTAACTATTGTCTGAGGAAAGCCCAAATTATCCATGTCTGAAAAGGGTGATGGATTTGATGTGTATTATTCATTACCTTCAGGGGTAAAAGGGAGAAATGCCATATATTTTTCTTCATTTTATGGCAATACACAACTTCTAAGTCTTTTGTAATCTCCACATGCAACACACACATTCTAACAACAAATAACTGAAATTTAAGTTTGCTTTGGAAATACAAGATTTGGCCGGATATGTTGTGTTTCATTAATGTTTGAGACTGAAACTCATTGGATATGAGTTGATTGTGAATGTAAACGTGTAGTGTGAGCTGTCTCATTGCCATACGCAGTATTAGAATGTCTGTACATAAAAAAAAAACTCGTCCAAGTATTGTGCTCATGCAAAAAGAAGAATGCACAGGTTTGGTTCTCCGTGCGACGTCTCGAGGGAGAGCTGTGACAAACCCGTACCACAATCTGACAATTTTACAATAAATCACAGTAAATCTGATCCATATGAACCTTATCTGTGTGCATGCCCCGTGAAGTAATGTGTCAATGTTGCAAGATTAATAAAATCAGAACTAAACCTGTTTGGAACTTTTTTAATAATGTATAATATATTTATTTACATTATATATATATATATATAAATGTATATATATATATATATATATATATATATATATATATATATATATATATATATATATATATAAATTAATTAGTGGGCTATATATAATCAGAATCATCATCATATAATATATCATTGTATACACCTTGTGGTTACCAGACTTATTACTAAATCTTGGTCAAACTGAATATTTTATTCTCTTAAGGAGTAAGAAGGAAGGAAAGATTGTTGTAGTGAAACCATGGTTTATTAAAGCACATTGGAAAGAAGGACTTGTTTGCTTAAAAACAACAGAACAGACTGAATATTCAAAGCCAACACTGTGCTGCCCTCTATGTGTTTAACAAGACAGTGCATGTTGCATAAGAAAACCTTGTGTAAACTCATTTGAATTCCGTTTTTGCTGTGTTAAAACTATAATATAATAACTAAAATATAATCAATTAAAACTACCAACATAGATTCAAGTATTTTCTTCATCTTGTTATCTTGACTCGAGTTCAATGTCCAGTTTCTAAGGTTTTGGTTAATGTCTAATGAGCAGGTCAGGCATGCTGGTCATTTTTGTCACATTTTAACATGACCTTAATCCCGATGCCCTGTTTGGTGGTCTCAAAGGCCTGGAGGGCCTGCTCCAGCGGGAAACGATGGGTCACTAGAGGCTTCACATTGACTTTCCCAGATGCCAGCATCGCAATTGCCATGGGCCAGCTGCAAGACGAAAACACAGCAAGTCTGTTTTGTAAAGTAGAAAAGGAATAAAATGCATTTACTCACGTGTTGCAATAGCGAAACACCCCTCTGATGTCAACTTCTCTTGCAGCTGCATTGACCAGAGGAACTGTGACCATCTCTTTCCCAAGCCCCACCAGCACCACCACACCTCCAGACTGTGTAGCCTGACAGACAAGGCCAATATCAGGTCAGAAAACCACAAATGTCCAAACACATAACTAGTGCATGGTGTATATAGAGGTGCTTACATAGATTGCAGTTTGGACGCTACTCTCAACTCCAGTGCACTCTATGGTCATTGTAGGTGGTGCTCCCAACAGGTCGCCCACAGTCTGCGCCAGCGACTGCGGCGAATCCTCTTTGGCTACAGTCACTGTAAAATCTGCTCCTAATTCCTTGGCCATTGACAATCGTTCCAAGGACAGATCTAAACAGACACATAATAATACTACTGTATATACTAAAGTATGTTTAAGTAAAGTATCATATATGTACTTTTATTTTTACCTGTGATGGCAACTTTTGAGGCCCCCATTGCTTTGGCTACAAGCAAACTGACCAATCCAATAGGACCTGTAGACAGCAAGATACTGGTATATATAATTGTTAAAAAAATACATATATTCATTCATTTTTTTATTATTTTAAGATTCAAATAAATACATATATTCATTCATTTTTTTTATTATTTTAAGATTCACAATAATGTGAAACGTATGCAGAAAATTTGAAATTATAACCAGTATATAAGTGTTCAAATAGATTTTGTAAAGAAAGTGTGTCAAGAATCAGATCATTGTCTATTTCATTGCATCATGGCCGGTTGATTAGATATTGTTTATACGTTACCATTATATTCTTGAATTTGTACCTGCACCACAGATGAGCACAATGCTGCCCAGAGTTACCCCAGCTCTGCGGCAGGCGTGGATACCGACTGAAAGAGGTTCAATAAGGGCTCCCTCTTCAAAAGTCAAGTTATCCGGTAATCTGCAGACCCAGATGCATGCAATGTTGAGAAAGACAGATTAGTTGTGTCATTCTGGTACAAAGAAGTGCAATCAATCCATATTTGGAGTTACTTGTAGCAGAAGTTGGCATTGTGAGTGTAATAACGGGACAAGTTTCCATCATCAGGAGGAGTTGCACAAAAGAAAATGGTCGGGGAGAGGTTATATCTGCCGTTTTTGAAGAACTCATCCATCTCTCGGGGCACACCAGGCTCAATAGCCACTCTATCGCCTAAACACACCAAACGTTCTGTTTTTCCACAGTTGGACTCATGAACATTTCACAATTCATCGCTGACTCCTGCCATTTACAATTGTCACCTTATACTACTGTCATTTTAACATGCACTGATAAATGTGTGTGCACTAAGTGTGTATGTATATATAGTAAAAATGTAATGAAGACTTTTTTATGCATGCCTTACATTTATTTGGCCTTCATCCCTATCGCTGTCAGACTGTAAAACAAGTAACTTTAACAACCTGTACTAGGACTGAAAAAACTCACACTGCTATAGTTGCTTTTAATTCTATTGTACATAATATATCTTGAACAAAAGATAATATTTCACTTTTTAACGTGTTTGCACATTTCCTGTCTTTTGCACAACCTGAGTGATACTATTTATGCCAAATGTGACATGTACATTTCTCCATTTGTGAGATCAATAAAGTCTAATCTTATCTGGTTTCTACTTTTTAAACTTTAAATCTGGTTTGTAACTTCCTTTGACTTACAATGACAATAGAAATAGTTCTGTTTCTGGTTCTGGAGGTACACATGCACAAGTATACTAACCCATCTGAAGGTGTTTAACAGCAGAGCCAACTTTCAACACGGTACCGGATGCTTCATGTCCCAAAACCATGGGCTTTTTGAGCACAAAGTCCCCAATTCGTCCATTCTGCCAATAATGAACGTCTGACCCACATATCCCCACAGAGTGCATCTGCAGCAAAACATCTGCAAACATGACAGAGTTCATAAACTGAGCACACTGAAACCATGCAACCAGCTTAATGAAAATAAATCAGAACTGAATGAATACTGCTTTGAATCGGAAAGAAAAACTAAAATAGACAGAATCAGCCTCTCACCGTTAGGTCCTGGCTCTGGGATTGGACGCTGTTCCTAAAAGAAAAAAGTAAACAGTTGAGTTTGTATGTGTATAGAAAAAGAAAAGTACGTGTGTATAAGATAAACGAAAGTGATCCATACCAGGCGGAGATCCTTCTGAGAGTGCAGCACCACAGAGAGATTATCCAGATCCATGTCAGACTTGTGCAGCAAAGACACTGGACATTCAACTGTGTGAGGTACAAACTATAGATCCATGGTTAATATAATAGATCTATGGGTATAGTCTATGGTACAAAGTGCACCTGCCGAAGTCTTCCTGTGGAGCTGGGGCGGTCACCAAAACAAACGCCGCGACTGGTCGAACAGCAGCGGACGACTCCATTCTACAGAGGCAAACAGGGGTCACGTGTTCAGAAATGGTATCGCCCAGTTCTATGGCGTTCGTTACCCCACTATAATTTTGTTAATCAGATCAAACCAAAACACACTGTAACCATCTTATTAGAAAACTGTTTATCTTTTGAATACTTAATGAAAATCCCTTTGATTCACGCTTGACGCTTGGGGCACGGGGAGGCGTGACGTCATTTCCTGTTAACAAAGATCAGCCCATTCACTTCCTGCCTATGCTATCCTATGGCTTTTAGGTGGGTTTTAGTCACGTTTTTTAGTAATTAGATTGATACATTCAGCTATGAGACTGACCCAAAAGTGTCGCTGTGCTTTCTCTCTGAGGTAGAGCTTTGACTGTGGCCACTCAGAGAGATTTGTAAACTAAAGAGCACTGCTATGTCCCAAAAATGCCCAGTATCCTCACAGTTTAATTCCCGTTTGAGCATTTTTTGGGAAACTCGTGTAAACCACTGCTGAACTCCAGTGAAACTCAAGCCGTTTCCCGCGAACAGGAAGTGAAGTGGGGTTGTAGCTAAAACGCGGAAGTGGTGCGTGCATAGAGCCCATTACGTGTAGGTGGTTCTCTTTCTCACGTTTCTGTCTGAGGAAGCTGATCTAAAGATGTGAGAGAGGCCAAAAAAAAACATGAAAGTTAGGTACCCCAGCATTAATCAATTCACACCTGCATTAAACGTAAGAACAAACTATTAAAGAAATCTCTATGGAGGAATCACACTTAGAGACATTCTCCAAGTGAATGGCTTTATGCCGTACAGTGTTTCCCAAAGTAAGGTCTGTGGCCCGTAGCCCACCGGGTGTCCCAGAACCACTGTTTGTAAGCCCCACAAATTTGCTAATAAATCAAAATGTCAGTAAAGGGGATTCAGCTACAAGTATTGTTATTATTGTTTTCATAGAATACAGACCAAAACAATAAAGATACCTTTATAAAATCCTTAACATTTAATGAATCCTGCAAAACATCTTTCATGAAAAACCTTATAAGACTGTGTAAAACAGGATGTAATCAGACAACATTGTGGAAGACAGAACCAATAACTCAATATAAGTTAAATATTGATAAAACAGTAACATTAGACAGTGTCAACAAACAATGAAACCTAATTTAAGAATGTGTAATATCTATATTTAGTTTTTTGTGTTTAGTTGATGATTTATGTGTGAAGTAAACAACAGTGTGAGCATCTGCAACATCCAGCACAGAAATCACTTAAAGGCCCAGAATACTTGGGGAGACTGCCGATGTCTACAAAACCTGTGGAAATCGAAAGTTCAATTAAAATACAAGTCTTGGGAGGGGAAAATTCACAGCTGTATAAATGCTACCTGTGACCATGTTACAGGAGGGATGCATGGTTAGAACTCCACATTGTTGTCCAATTGGTGATTCTTCAGAGCTGAAATAAATACACAGAGACTTTAATGATGAGATAGCAATGACATTTGTGTAAAGTTAGAGTTGTACATTTCTGTTTAATCTAGTTTTCGTTTTTTTGGTTGAGTTTTTTATGGGTGCAGTGGTTTGTGAGATTTAGCCCTCCTCTTTTCTACCATAGAGTTGGGGCCAGGTCACAGAGAGAGCTGTTTGAGCAGGTCTACCCCAGGGACAGTTAACAGCCCATTTTGATAACTTTTTGTTTTATCTGTTTGTATGTTTGTTTTACAGCTAATTCTATGGTTAATTGAAATATCACTTAGTAAACAGGGGATAGATTGAGGATTTGTGATATTCACTGACCTTTTGGAATCTAAACAACTAACTTAATAATAATAAAGAATAATCAACCAGGTAAGTGTTGTATTGTTCACAACACTACTTCCTATCAAGTGCAGAGAATCAATCCATAAAACATGACAATTTTCTGAAGGAAAAACTTGAGCATAAATGTAATTTAAGATTGACTAATGCTTTTTGTGTAATGGTGTAGATTTTAAGTTATTTTGTACTTGGTTTTGTTTTGACTTCTGTTCTCTATGGTTTCATTTTTAGCTTGACTTCCTGTCTTGTTCCTACTGTATGTGTTGACTGTCTGCCCCATCCTTATATGTTTTACCTGTGTCTGTCTATATACCACGTGCTCCTCTCCCCTTGTTGTTGATTAATTGTCTGCCTACGTTCCTGAGTTTCATTTCGATTATTGATCGATTTTTTATCTTGGACATTTATTTGATCATCTTTATTAAATCCTTATTTTGTATTCCTGTATTATTCCTCCTTTACACCACGTGACACTTTGAGATTATCCTGACCAGCCGGAACCACGCAATTTTACAAGATTCATTTTCAAATCACAATATCCCGATCACTGCATTGATCTGGAAATTACTTGGACAAAGTATCTTAAACAAGTGCAATTATAAGACAAAAGGAATGGCAATATTTTAAAGTAAAAAAAAAAAATGTAGAATACAGATGTAGATACACATCACTCTAGTGAAATTCTGATTTAAAAAAAAATGCATAGCAAAGAGTGAGGGGTTTGTAAAGTGTCGGATGAACTGTTACATATACATATACACATATATGCTTTGTAATGTTGTTTTTATCACAAATTATTAACAAGTTAACTGTTTTGTGACTTCAATGGCATTTATGTATTTTTTCAATTTGTCTATTTTGGATTGGGACATGGATGTGTCATTAAACGTGAAGAATAATATTTAAACATACATAGATTCGCTTGTTGCTCTGTCACTGTGTTCATTTTCGGAATCATCACTGAAAGTCTGTAAGAGAACTCAGCTTATGAAATCACATTTTGATAGAGCTGAAATTTGGTGAGTTGATGGGATGTAATGGACAGAAGTAACACCCCATTCCAATGTTCATGGTGTTGGCTTACCTCTGACCCCTGAATATCATCACATTCCCAAATCAGCCTTCCAACAGCATTTCTTACTTCTACATTTAAAAATCATGTTACAATACTCAAAGTGATGACAATACATACATACACATATGCATGAATATATAGATGGACCATAGACTGTAGATAATGAGCGACACTTACCTTCCTGGACAGAATATGGAGGCAGCACATAGTGGCCGACACACACAGACTGAAAACTCCTCCTCTTCTCACAGGCAGACAACAAGCAGCTGTGGAAGACTGTCACCTTATTGAACAGGTAGTCTCTGCTAGAATATATCCTAAAACAGTAAATTAATCATTATAAAGTATAGATAAATAGTACTCATTTGACATATGAATAAAAGCAAAGGCTCATGTATGATGCGGCTCACCTTTTAGTATCAGGACATAATGCATCCTGACTGAAAAGATAGTCTGCTGTTTCCCAACCCCTGATGGTCCCTCCTTCCATCACTTAACAAACATGTAATTAATACAACAATTGGAATGTTTATGTTGCATATACATATCAATGCATTGCTCATTCCTGGCCAAAAGTATAAATTAACAAATGATATATTGTATTCCCAGAAGACGTTTTGGGTGAATTTACAGATGTTTGACCAATTTAGGTTTAATTCTTCTCAGTTAGAGCAGTTTTGTTATATCTTATCTAATACGCAACATATGAATGAAGTTGGCATTGTGATATTTCTTAGTGTTCAAAAAGCAAACGTGTAAATGCCGATGTAAGTAATCCATAATTCAATTTTTTATTTTATTTTTATTTTTTGTATAATCATGCTTTGGACCACCATATGACTCGGATAGGTTCAACAAGTGTAAAGGAAAATACTTTTGGCAACTAGAGATCTGGTTGCTAAAGCTAGCCAAATGAGTACACTTACTCCAGAATTGCTTGCATTTTTCTGGCACGCTGCTGGAAAACCACGCGGATTTGTTATGAAACATGTCTGCTTTGTCTTTGCGATTGAACAGCGTAGCTTTATCAAATATTAGCTTGAGAACGAAAGCATAGAAGTACAAACACTCATTAATATTGATGACGCAAATCAAACACATTTGTCGCGCCAAAAAACAAGACGTCACACGTATGAAGCAGAAATAGAAATAATCTGAAAGAAAAAAACAATAAATAAATCAGTAATTATTCGTTTTTTTATGAATTGCATTAAGCATTGTATGGTCAGTAAAACATGTGCAAATAAATAGCTGCAAAAGTTTATGTTGTAATACGTACTACTCACCAAAAGAGGGCGACAGACCGCAACCGACTGGAGATCACAGAGACGCTCGTTCATAATAACGCGCTCGGTTGATTGCAATATAACGTTATTTTATTGGAATGTTCTATTTCACTAATACAACAAATTTGTCCAAAAGTAATTGGTGGCAGGAGAGTACTGAATAGGAATGGCTTCCACGTCTCCATAGTGTTACTGGTGCATGGTACTGTAAAATGTATCACTAGCTATTTTACTAAATCAGTGACTGCCGCTGATGATGCCTTTTTTCAAACCATTAGAATTATTTGGGTCTTATAATTATGTCTTCAGATATTGACATAACTAGTTATTCGAATTAACGTACTTTGTGGATAGTTAGTTTACACTAACAAGATGTAGTTAGTTAGACCTTATAATTTATTATTATGCTTATTTTTATCCGTAAATATCCTGATCCCCATATGTTTGTAAAGTTATTATTCCACTTTCTATACAGTCCTGCACTTAGAGAGGAGACAGCGCAGCCTTGTGGTTTATGTTTTCTTCTCTTTGGGGTTGTCGGCAGGTCAGATACTCTCTTATATTACAGGGATGAAAAGAACCAGTTGGCTCTGGTTTTTAAAACCCAATAATGTCATGTAACCTTGTGCTTTATAACACTAGCATCCTATTAAAGTATAGCTGGCCCTGTAACTGATGTGTTCTGCTGTTTGAACTCTGAGAAGGAGAATACCCTCTGAATTATTTTTACCCCTGTCCTCTAATGTCAAGGCCAAGGCCAATGAAAACAAATATTTACTTTTTACTTATTCCGTTATTTGAATTCAAGTTTTAATATAAGACACACCAAAACTAGTCCCATATAAATGCACAATTATATTTTCAAAATAATGTCCATAAATTACATGCCCAACCAGGCACATTCACTGTTTTATTATTTCTTATTTGACCAGGAAAGTTCCATTGAGATTCAGAACCTCTTTTTCAAGGGAGTCCTAGAACTATAGTAGTAACTATAATTACTTGAGGTACTTACAATATACACTGACATTAATTTAAATGATCATTATTTGTGTGGAATTTGTGGCATACTTCCATCTCCTTATGGGAAATTATCATTGGATATGTGTGCTTTAGACATTGGTGGTTTGAGTTGCCACACTGTCCGGATGCTGTGGCTGGTTGGTGGAGAAGGTTCAAAGCAATGATAACTTGTTGCCATGACTACTTCCAAGACACACCCTTTTCCTTCCCCACCCCCAGTGAGAGCCGAACAAAGCAGAGGCAGCATAGGCCACAGAGCTGGACGCTGCCTCTTAAAACGACATACTGGTGGATAAGGAGTTTTTATTAGTTTGTATTAGTTTTAAGTCGGTTTATTCTGTTGGGTTTGTGTAAGGTTATGGCACAGGCAGATTCATGTTTTTATTCTTTAGATGTATGATAGATTTTTTAGATAGATTTTTGTGGTTGTTTGAAGTTCACTTATACTGTAGGGGTATATCTATCAGGGCTGTAACCATACATTGGCCCCGATATAATACATATTGTGAAATCAATATTATGCAACACAATAAAGATTCACTGAAGTACTTTTAATAAACCACACAACCAGAGTTTCACTGCGTTCACGTGATTTTATAATAAGTTAAAAATGAAGAAGTTCCCCTCTGCATCACCAGTAGATAAGTTTGCTTCATCCTTCAGATAACCAAAACATCAATTTGATGACTTCTGTTGCAACTCTTCTAATGATCAGCTCAGTTTGAACTATCTCTAAACCATTAGTGCAAAAATAAAGTGCACTATTACTTCTCACTTTAAACTGAACAAATTACGTCAGAAGCGTTGCATACAGGCCAACTGTATCTGTACTTAGTGTTGGAGGCTAACCACGTTACAGCATATCACAATATGATTAGTTTCATTATATCATTATATTAGTTTCTAGATCTTGGGTGGCACGGTGGCTGAGTGGATAGCACTCTCGCCTCTCAGCAAGAAGGTCCTGGGTTCGAATCCCGGCCGGACCAGGGCCTTTCTGAGTGGAGTTTGCATGTTCTCCCCGTGTCTGCGTAGGTTTCCTCCGGGTACTCCGGTTTCCCCTACCACTAAAAATATGTACAATAGGTCTGGCATGCGCCTCCTGTTCGGCGACCCCGCTCCCATCTCTGTGTGGAGTGAGAGACAAATGCCCAAAAAATAACAATTGTAAACCGCTTTGTGACTCTGGTCTGTGAAAGGCGGTATATAAATAAAGCTTACTTACTTACTTACAAGAAATACAAACAATTATTCACAGCGGTAAAAAATACCTGTACATGGTTTGAAAAGGAATTGGATTAAGCTAAAAAGGTACATTAATCCAGTTCCCTCCCAGCCATTCAGACACTTCCTACATTAGTAAACAAAAACTAGAAGCAATGCCCAACAACATGAAGGTTTTTTTTGTATGCAAAAATGATTATCTCTCCTTAAACTTGGAGCCAGCTGATTTATCTTGCCTGTGTAGATGGAACTAAACTACCAGAATTGCAGACACAAATACTGTATACCCCTTAGCTGGCTACAAGGGCATCCAAATATAGCCTTCTTTTATCCTTACAGATTTCACACATCATCATTGCTTCGGTTTCCATCACAATATATGTGTGGGAGTGTAATATGTACAGTATATACAGTCAGTTCAGCAGGATCATTTTGTTTGGGACGACCAAAACCATCTAAATGTGTCCATGTTGTCAACAGTGTGGCTGTGGTTACTGTTATTATATCATTTATCATATTCATTTTGTGGTTGTAAATCTGATTATAACATGACACTATAATACAAGTACAATCTCAGTTTGTGAAGAAAAGTGGAAACGTGTTCACATTTACAGGAAGTAGAGCTGATGACATCACCTGTGGGATACATTTTGTCCAATTTAATCACATTTTTATGACACAATGATTCACACCACTACAAATCCTGTATTTCTTCCAATCTTCTTCTATTGCATCTTACTATATGAATATTTAAGATAAGATAAACTTTATTGATCTCACAATAGAGAAATGTACATGACACATTTGGCATGAATAATATCACTCAGGTTGTGCAAAAGACAGGAAATGTGCAAACATGTTAACAAGTGTATTCTTGCATAGCCCTAAATAACAACAGTCGTCATCTCAGAGGACTTTAAAAAACTGTTGAAATCGCCAACACAGATCTGAGAAACAAACAGTTCAAACACTAAAAATATAGAACACATTTGTATTGGTCCATAGGAAAGTTGCTCCTTCAGTGTTCCACAGAAGGAGCTCCTCTGTGCTGCCCGGGGCCCAGCACACGGCAGCGTAGTGTATGGCAGAAGCTACCACGGAGTCACAAAAGGTCCTGAGCAGAGGCCTGCTCACTCCGAAGGACCTCAGCCTCCTCAGAAGGAAGAGGCGGCTTTGGCCCTTCTTGTGCAGGGCGTTTGTATTATGGGACCAGTCCAGTTTATTGTTAATGTGAACACCCAGGTACTTGAAGCTGTTCACCAGCTCAATGTCCTCCCCCTGGATGTTCAGCAGCGTCCATTACCATCTCCTTGGTCTTACTGGTGTTCAAGCACATCTTGTTGTTGGTGGATATTATTGTTGGCTGTTGGTTGTTTGGTTGTTCAGTTGCATAATAAGCAAACAGCAAACTACCAACTAATTAGAAATAATTTTATTAAAAAATAGCAAAAATTAGAAGTATTCTGGTGGGTTGAACAGAACATTCTTTAATTCACATATTTATTGATTTATTGTATCCAATAACTGTGACAACAGTTTAAGTGAAGGTGAAATATGCAATTTACGACTAACCCCAAAACCAAAGAGCTCTGATTATATTGTATGGAGTTTAAAGGTTTTCTATAACAGTGCGAGTCTTTTCCACACCTTTTTGCCGGGCATTTTTTCCACATCTCTAGTTTACATGTGCATCTCATATTTCTTTACCTTAATTACGTGTTCCTCATAATGGTGTCAGTATCGGCATTCAGGAATGTATTAAACAGTATATTCGTTTGATGAGACCAGGGAATTGTAGAACAGATACAGTTGCAAATGAAATGAGTGAAGCTATAAATATCTGCAATATAATTAACACAATAACAACTGGGGCCTGTGTTAGTACAATTATTGGTGTTTTACACACATTATAATTCAGTTTCTTTCCATTTTCGGATTTCAGCCGCTTGGTTTAACA